ATATTATTTTTGTCCAGGATCTTTTTTAAATAATTTTTTTTTGTAAAAAATTCTCACTTTATTATTCTCTTTTTCTTAATTAATTAGAGAAAACTCTTATTGAGGACATTGCCAGTTTAGAAATTCCAATTAAGGGTATAAAACTTTTAAATGATTTAATAGATAACTTTATATCTAATGACATTGCTGTATATCCTTTTCTTAAAGAAACAAAATGCTACCGCCAAATTTTACGATGTCCGAAACACAATATATTGTATACTTTTTCCTTTTCTGAAACTTAATAATCAAACTTGAATTCTTCCTTCAGAACTCATTAATCATACTGCTAGTTTTACCAGCTCTCACGAGGCCATGCAAACCGGCTAGATTTTACATCAAGCTTATGGAGAACCATCACGAAAGCTACTCGGCATCCTCTCCGATTTCTACCGGTGCGGATCGTGCGGTAGAAAATATTTCAGTATTCATTATATTCTAAATAAAGGGATTAATTTACTGATGCATTTTGCTCCCAATTTATTCCCGAGTTTTGATTTCAATTAAACAGTGAGTTTTTATTATTGAGATTGGATTGACCAAAGAATTTGGTGAGAGTTTCTGGGTTGATATTCTGAATTTATGAAATTTTCTAAAGGGTTTCCGTTTTATTATTGAGTCGATAAAACAAAGGACAATGAATATATCGTGAAGTCTTTATAAATTAATACACTTGGGAGCTCCAAAATTTATTAATTTATAGAATTATTATTAATTTATCGATAAATTATTAATTTATTAATTTAAAGAATTATTTTTCAATTGAATTAAGAAAAAATATAAAAAAACAATTTATTACTTTACATCAAAAAATGTCGGTTGCAACCCTATTTATATTATTATAATTTTTAATGGAACAAAAATAATGATAATTGCAAACATCAAAAAATACTTCAGTTAAAATATGAGTTAGGCCCTGTTTGATAAATCAGTTAAGCACTTAAACTTATTAATTAAGTACTTAATTGATTAACACTGTTTGATAACACACTATCATAACAACTTAATTGTTTAAGAACTAATTTATTAAGCACTTAAATTTTAAGTGTGTTTGATAACTCAAAGTAGGATATCTTAATAAATTAAGTGGGTCTGAAATACTAGTACAAATGTGAGCCTAAAAATAAGTGATAGACCTATCACTTATGTCTGAACTGAATTCTTGAGACGATTTTTTTTTCTATTTACTTATTTTTATGTTTTTACTTTTGATATTTTATCTTGAAATATTTTTATTAATCATGATGTCTAGTTCTAAATTAAAATTTATGTAAATTACTTTTTATTTAATAAATATTTATTTTTATATAAAAATTAGAATCCATTAAATTCCATGATCAATATATCTTTACCATAAAATATGAATTTTTTTTGACAATGATAAAATATGACATTATTATTAACTGAAAAAATAATAACATAATAAAATTTAAATATTTTTATTACATTATTTAATACTAATATTATTATTTTTGTTATCATAGTTTCATATACATCAATTATTTTTTCAGATAAAATTATAAATCGAGATACTTTAAATTTCATTGTTCAGACTTCAGATTTCAGACATTTTATTCAGTGTTTAGATTTTGATTTTTATCAAACACGACAAACTTAATCAATTCAGTACTTGTGATTCAGTCTTCAGATTTCAGACTTCAGACTCAAATTAAGTTTTATCAAACGGGCCCTTAATCTTCAAATCTAGGTTTTTATTCTAGGTATTTATTAATTTATGAAACTCTGGGGACCTATAATTGTATACGAGATTCTTGTAAAATTGTTATCTTATAAGTTAATCGAGGTTTTTCGTTTTTTGTACTGGTTCCAAGTTGGGACCAGTTAAAAATACTATTTAATAGAGGTTATTAATTAATAGAGGATCAATTTTCGGAGTTTCTACTGTAATTATACGTTTCATATTTAAGTAAAGGATAGATATGTCATTAGTAATAAATTTAATCTCTAAAGTCATTTTTATACCCTAAATCAGAATTTTAAAAGTTTTACACCCTGAATTGGAATTTCTAAACATAAAATGCCCTTAATAGAAAATTTTTCAATTGTTTAATGTCTCAATTAATATTCAAACATGTCCAACTAAGAGGCCTCATCAGATAAAATTGGGAAACCGAAATTTTAGGCTGCTAATTACATATGGAGATAAATTTAAATTTTTGGACTCTGAATCTATCTATTTTTTAAATACAAGATTTTTTTACTTATAACATTTCATAATTTAATGTCTTCCAAATTTTGGGGCCTAAAGCCGGTTCTGGTTACCAAATCTACTCCTAATGAAAAGAGCAATCCTGTGGGAAAAGTTGTTGAAGATTGCTTTGAAGATTTTTATCTATTTATTATATTGAGTATTTCGTATGTTGCCGTTATTTTTCCTCGATTTATTAGTATAGTAACTTATAACATTATTATCTTAACATACTGTATCAGATTAATTGGGGATCCTAACTTGTTAGAGCATTAGAATTAATTATAATGTACTTGAGGTAACATATCAACAAAAAATAATACGTTGGAGATTTTTAGTCCTTTTTTTTTTTGGGGGAGTGGGGAGAGGGTTACCGAAGAAGAAAGATTATACAATGTCATAAAATACTGATGCTAGTTTTTCTCTGCCCTCTAAAACTTATTTGACGCATTCCCTTGTAAATATGTTTTCAATATGAGATAAATACACTTAAAAGGAGATAAACTTGCTTAATTTTATAGCTTGTTTGGTAACTAGATAAAATAATATATCTAACGGGGAGATAAAGTTTGCTTAATTTTGTAGCTCCTTTTTGTACCAAAAAAAAAATTATAGCTCCTTTGGCAGCATTATTATTGGAGTTAACAGCATTATTATTGACCACATAAAAATGTTATCTAGTTTGCGGATTCTAATATTGTTGTAAGAAATTAAACTATTTTTTTTTTTTTTGGAATGGGATTATACTATCTAGATATTTTGGACTTTTTCTTCATTTCTTGTATATATATTCATTTTGAAAGATAATAATTGAATTTGTAAATGATGATACCAGTTTGAGTTATTAAATTTATATCTAATACTCTTTTGTGCCAAAATAAGAAGAATAACGCACTTAGAAATAGCAAGATTTACAGCAGAGATAAAAGGCATACTACAAAGATTGAATTGGACAGAAGCATAAAAGTATCAGAAAGTCAGACTTCAAACAGATAGCAAATTAGTGGTTTGGAGACATTATAGCTCCTTGAATCAGATTCAGGGTATATTATATAGAACTGAATTCAAAATGCAGTATATTTTTTGCGAAATAAATACATTGGTGTATGAACTATCAAAAAGAGTATCTCAAAGGCAATCTTTCAAACATGATAGTCCAGCAAGCCTTACTAATTTCTTGAGAGATATTCTATACCTAGATCAAAGGTTTTTTCCATATCTTCGAATTAGGTAGCCGAGTAGAATAGAAAGGTGTCATGGGATTTTTAGAAAAGCTTTATAAGACAACTTTTAGTTTAAATAGTTAGAGATGGAGTGATGTTGTGGGATTCTTGTATGATCTTTGTAAAGTAGCCTCTTAGAATAGTTTCTTTCTCAGCTTGTAAAATAGAACCTTCATGAGATTCATAGAGTAATCTTTGTAAAACAGTTCTTAGTTGTAATCTTGAATTGGAACTGTAATGAGATGTTAGGAAATCTTTGTAAGACGATTCTTTTATTGGGTAAATCTTATGCAATGCTTATATAATTTTTTACTTATTATAAATAAAATCGAGGGAATGCAGGTAGGGGTGTCAATTTGGGTTTGGACCCATAAACCCGACACGAACTCAACACGAAATTAGCGGGTTTGGGTTGAGATAGGTTAGGTCAGACCTAACCTGTTTATTAAACGGATTGAGTTTGGGTTGATCTGACGGGTTATGCGGGTTACCCATTTAAATCGGCTTCTTAGTAGTTTTATTAATTTTTTAGAGGCATATTGGTCATTTTAGTAAATATTTTATTTTATATTTTTTTGTTTGTACATGTGATTTTTACCTTTTGGATGATGGATTATTTTATTTGGATTATAGTTTATCAAACATTTGTCATTTAAGGATATTTTGTGCGATGTTTTATAGATTTGGTTATGGTCATGCCCAACCTTAGTTGTGTTACATTGGTTTGCATTTTGAAATGTGGAGAAAATATAAATTTTTATCAAAAAATTCATAAATTTTACTAGAAAAAAATTAATTTGGATACCAGCAATATATATATATAAATATATATATATATATGTTCGGTTAAACAGATCCCAATTCGGGTAACTTGCGAAATAATAGGTCCGGTCCGAGTTTAAGAATTTGACTTGTTTACTATATGGGGTGGGTTTAGGTTGGGAAAAAAATTAACCCAACCTGTAGATTCGGGTCCAATCTAAATTGACACCCTATCGCCAAAATACCACCCTAATTCTCTAATAATAATAATAATAATAATAATAATAATAATAATAAGAAGTAGCAAGATTTACCCTCCCCTTCCCAATCTGATTCTTTTTTAGTCCTTCAAAGGTCACAGCTCGCCTTTAGATTATGGTATGCTACCTCTTGAAAACCAGGTTTCAATACTCCTCTATCAAGATTGGTAAGGTGATGTTTTTGCATTGCATGCTACCTCTTGAAAACCAGGTTCCAATACTCCCCAATCAAGATTGGTAAGGAAATGTTATTGCAAACAATTTGCTCCAAAAGTTTATGATATAATCGAAATGATGAAATGGTAACAATAAGTAGCATAATTCGATCTATTTAAATCATTCACTCTACTTATTTTAATAAGTATTTTCTTTGTCCCAAAATAATTATTTAAATTGAGATTTTACTTTTAATTTAATTTATATTAAAAATAAAAACTACATTAGACAGGAATTTCTAGACGGATGGATGGGATAATATGTTAGTTCAACAGATTTAAACTATTTAAATGTTATGGTAGAAGTAATAATAATCTAAGTTACTTTACACTGCAACAATCCGAATAAGACACACAATGAAGTTCAAATTTAGAGCAGGATGATGAAAAACTCACATTACTTTTTACCAAATCTCACTACCGAATCAATTCACTGTGTCCTAACTTCAAACCTGATCGATGAACAGAGGATATTCTTCCTTCTTTTCTATCAAACCTCTCTGCAAAAGCCTACCACGTTCATCACCACAGAGAAGGGCAACATTATAACTTACTACAGCTAAAACCCAAAATTGCATTGATAAAACTAATTACAGAATTCCAATTATCTTACAAATGAGGAAAGTCAAACCTAAAGAGAATAACCCGGAACCAACACCAAAGTTCTCATTCTATTTTTCCCCTACATCATACAAGTGGGTTACCGAAAGCCAATCTTTCGCCAGATCTGTCTATCTCATTACATTTTCATTCAAATGATCCACCATTCCTTGCTCAGAAGACCAGCACTTGGAAAGATCTGTGCAAAACAAACGTAAACCACAATTTCAAAAGTTTGTTCAATACAAATACGTAACAATAAAAAACTTTAAAAAAGCAAAAGTAGGTGCGATCGCGGACAATTCAAAGAAGAAATCAGGTAAGCACAAGTTAGTGAGCAGTCCAAACAAAAATGACCACTGGATAAGTAATAATTTGAATCATTACTATGCAAGTTCATGGACATGGATAAAAATTTTTCTTAGCGGGAAAAAAAAAACCACAAATTTGGTTCTTCCAATACCAGTCCAATTTTTCCTGGCCAAATTAAAAGCAAAAAATGAGCACCATGCCAACATGATTCAACAGAGCAACTTCAAGCTCATACACAAGTTCTCTGGTGTGATACATCATATTTAAGTTAATTCATTAAACTTATGTTGAAGGGCATCACTTTGATGCAGTATCTAAATCAATCTCCAACTTAAAAGATAATTCTGGGCCATCTCAGCCACTAAGCATTTTCCAAGCCAAAATGTCACAATCTTGTTCGTAAAACATATTCAGGGGTACTATTTTCAATCTCTATCATCAAAAGTTGCCAAATACCTCAAACAAGATAATACAATAAGAAGTCGTACCATTGTTGAACTTTCCTAAACTCAGTCAAAACAGGATATATATTCTCGAAGGCAGTGTAAGTCTCTTCCCTCACCTGAAAATAGTGAAGATATGAAGACAAGAGTATTAAATGACAATCATACAGAATAAGGAACTGTATTTTCCAAAAAAAAGAAAAAGGAAAAAAAAACTATGCTATCACCTTTGCTCCAGTGAGGACGATCTTTCCTGATACAAAGATAAGCAATACAATTTTTGGCTGTTTCATCCGATAGATTAATCCAGGGAACAGTTCAGGTTCATACTGTACAAATGAAAAAAAAAAGATGCATCAACACAAGAACTTTAAGTATGCAATAATCTACATAGTAAAGGTTACATAAAAAACTCACTGGTGATGTACGCAAGCTAGGAGAGAAAATGGGTTTTTGGAAAAGATAGGTGTTAATATAGAGACAATCTGCATTAGTAAAGTTGGATATAATAGCATGCTGTTAGGTCTGTAATGAATGAGTTACAGTTTTGTGAATAACGTAATTTACATTTTTACCGATTAAAATGAAAAAGAATCTACATAGTAACGAGTTATTAGTTTTGTGCTTAAAAATAAGTATTTCACTTTCAAAGAGTCAGCCCTCCAAACACATCATCCCCAGTTCAAGTTATCTAAACACACAAAAAATTTCCCATATGACCCAAATACTTGCCAACAAATGGTGAAGTTATTCCATTTTATGTCTAGTAAAATGCTATTTAATTAGACAGCGTTATCTTTATTCAGAGCAAATAAGATTAAACAAATTGCAACAATGAACAGAATGTAAACAATCAATCTCCAAACATTTGAATATAACCAAAGAATTTTATAATTGTGGTACACCTGCTCCGGGTATTTGTACTTCAATTCAGTTTAACAAAAAGTTTTAGGAATTGACTCATGCATTTCACAAAATCCAAAAACTACAGAACATCACGTCCACAAAACCCTGTCAGCATACCAGATTTATGCTTTTGAAAAAACCCTTAACCCTTCTCACAAACCCAGAAACACAACATTGGTATATCATGCACATACAAAATAAACATGCCCTTTCCAGACAAGCACAATAAACGATTGAAGATCGCAACCAACAGACATTTATCAGCATTCTTAGTCATCTGGTCAACCAATCTACTCACGAGCGTAACTATATTACATAGAACAAGAAAAAATTTAGAAAAATCTCAAAGAAACCTAGCAAAATCAAAATTGAATTGCTTGAAAGCCTTATACCTTGCCAAATGTTTTTACAGCATTTGAAGATACCAACCAACAGATGAGCACTAAAGCATATTATATATCTAGTGACAAGATATAAGGACTAAGGAGAAAAAAAGAGGTTTTAAACGTTAATTCCGTTTTCACGTTCCAGGAAGACTGACCATCTATTGCATCATTTTTCATCTCAAACTAATCAAGACCAATGCGTACATAAAGGAAAAGCAAGAAAACCAAACCTAGTTACTTACACTGGAAAAGGCTCCATGGGCATAAGCAAGGCCTTCAAGTCTAATGGGAAATTTAACATCACATGAACCAACTATGTTTTGAATCTTGAAATCCTATCCACAGAAAGCAAAGTAATATGTAATGAAGTTGTAACACAATTATAAAAGGAAATAAATAAATAAAATAAAAAATTTGCCACCAAAATCCGGCCAAGGTGCGCACCATTATCGCCCAATTTTTTAAATTTTTTTTTCAAGAAAAATAACTCAAATGGGTACATAATAACTCAAATGAGAGAGTAACGATGGAAAGGCGGAGAGAAGAAGGACCAATACCTTAAATTTAGCGTCAAATCCAAGCTTTTGGATGATTCTAGCATACTGAAAAATCAAACAGAACAAAGGTCAAGGGAAAGTAAATGTTAAGTGCTGCACAAGTTAAACCATTCACCATAATGTACATAGGAGGGTGTATCCATCACGAATGAGATTGCGAACTCGATGAAAGTTAAATCTTAAACATAAATTCATCAAGCACTAAAAGATTGAAATTTGATAAGATCGTCTGATAAATGGAAGTTACAAGCACCAACAGATTAATTGGTCTGTCAAGGAGCAATTAGATTAATTACTTAAGAATGTCTTAATGATAAGGTGGATCCAAAGAACAAGTACCATCATTGGCATATGAACAAAGTCAATACATTTTTGGATAATCTATTATAGTACACATAAGAAGGAGCATCTTAATCAATTAAGACTTCAGACAATTTCTTAACTTTACCCAAAAGAAATTCTCCAAACAATAATCATTTTATTACAGTATCCATTCAATGTACCTTGCGAGCGGCTAATTTTGACTGTTGTTCACTCTTCGCTCCTGTACAAACCTGAGTTAGTAAATAAACAGATTAGCACTAAGAAAAGCATTGACAAAAAGACCACAAGAGCCAAGATTAAAAGGCAAGCTTGAGCGACAGGTGAAAAGAAAAATGGTTTCACAATTGCGTTTCAGCTTTCACCAGAAGTATTGAGTTCAGTGAATCAACTACAGACCAGTATTTGTATGTTGAACAATCAATCAAGAATATTAGTGAGTCCAGAACTTATAAATACTATCATATTTATTTGCACCGTACCATCTTTCCGGAAGCAAAAATGAGTGCTGTCGTCTTTGGTTCTCTGATCCTCATAATCACAGCAGCAAAACGCTGAAAGGAGATCAACATGTTAAAACGCAAGCACCATCAACTGCTTCTTAAAAGAACATCAGAACAAACAGGATAGAATATTGGTGAAAAGGAAGTGATATCTTGCAGAATGCATGTCCCAACATTGATGTCCAACAGTTCATTAATTCCATGAGAAGCCTCACACTCACAAGATAAACGTAACTATTGCCTATGTTGCAGCAGCAAATCAAAGAAATCAGTAGCATCACGACAAGAAGAATGTGTTAAACAGGACAATGCCAAAATTATCACGGGGAGACTATCAATTATTTATTGTTTTATCCTGCTTTCCAAACAGGATGAAGTTTGAGAGAGTTAAAAACATGGATGATATTTATGAAAGAAATAATATGATTTACGCATGGAGTCAGCTAATATGATTTAATACGTTACATGAGACTCCATCAATCAATATGTTCTCAATTAGATTACAACAAACTAGGTTGTTTTAGAAATTTCCTTTAATCTCTTTTAGTATTGACTAATAGTAATGATGATATTGATGAAGATAATGTATATGAATTCTAGGTACCCACCTTAATCTGCTTTGTTCATATCAGTATAACTCACTTTTATCTGCCCCTCTTGTAATACAATTTTCTTTTGTATAACTGTTATTCAGTTCAAACTATGCTTTCACAACTTTCTGGATTGAGTTCTACACTGAACGGTTTCAACAGATTAAAATATCAGTGCATTTGAAACCTTTATGTGAACTTCAACTAAAGCACCAACAAGACTGGTTGATTGGCCTTTACGATTTTGCACTTCATCTTTATTGGTTCATTGTGATGGTTTTTAGATCATAAAGAACAACTAAATGGATCCAATCAATAGGGATACCCGCTTCACCTGACCAACAAAGCTACGAACCTTAAAGCATCCTTTGTCTTAAACACGCAAGAAATGAAAAGACAAAAAGTTTTTTTGCTTGCAAATTGTCAAGTACAAGGTAAACTTATGCTTGAAATCACAAGAATGTGTGGTATTTGACAATTAAATCAAACTGAATGGATGACAAAGTGGGGCGGGGGTGGTGGGGAAGAACTAGAAAGATTGAGAAAATGGAAAGTTTACCTCACTGAATACGGTAAGTACCCAGTACACTTTTGCTTAAGAAAGAGCCAGAATGGATAAAGACAAGCTAATCGAATTACAATCAACTATAAAGTAGACTACAAAATAGATAGACCAAGAGAGTCAACAGAGGGAAAGAGAAGCAACTTAACTGTTTATTCCTATTTTAAGAATATAAATACAATTAGCAAAACCTAAAAAGAAAACAAACACATGCCTTTGGGTTGTATTCTGCATTTCTTGCTTGCAACGCTATGGCTTTAAGGTCCAACTTGCAGTCCAAATTAACTGTTGAGACAATATTCCTGAACACACAGAGAACTCAAATCAATCCAGTATACAAAAGCCACTGGGGTCGAAGATGGCAGATTGGAAAATCTAGCAAGCTAAACAAATCGACCAATCTTCCTTGAGTTGGACATCAACAAAGAAGGAAATAACAGGGCCTAATTAATTTCACAAATCGAAGATAAAGCAGCCACGGATAAAATCTACCAAGTCCTTGACCAGGAACCGAAAAAACTCGCATCTACTCCATCCAGTCCAATTTATAAGGCCTCCCGAGGACAACTGGGGGGAGTACTAACAATCAATGATTCTGTGAAACTTCTGTGAAACATCTAAAGTTCCAAACACAATACTTCGAACTCCTCTTTTTATTTTAGTCCCTATAAAATTTAAAAGGACATCTATAGTCCTTTACATATTACAAAAATGATTTTGCGAGCCTTCGGGCAATAACACAAATTTGCTCATGCAGGGTAGAATAGGACACAACTTAAGAAGCCTAAGTTAAACGTGAAATAAATCATCAGAGAAAAATCCTTCAAAAGATTAAACGAAAACAAGATTCACAACCCATCCGCTCAAACGAGGTAGAGGAGTTGTATTGACAGGCAGCCATTGCTCTTTCTCTCTATATGTTCAGCGATATTGGCATGAAGAACAGAGATAATCCGCAAGTGAGTCTTTAACAATCATTTTTGAACCAGACATGTGTATTCTAATTGGCCAATTCAAAGGCATAGAAGCCTCCATGTTCGAAGTTCTGTTGCTTAAAGAAACAATAAAATCTCTGAAACATAGCATCAGTGAAGCTTTTCTTGGTTTATTGAATTTCTGTTCCCCATTCATGTTTTTCAACTTACCTTAGATTCCCCATCTTTTTCCCCTCCACATATCCCATTGGATTAGTGCATGGCAACTTGTTTCAGGACTGACAGACACACTTAAATTGCAAAAGACTAAACATTTATTATTTACATAAAAGGTAAACAGACAAACAAACAAACGTTAACATGACATGGACAACATTTGGAATTGTCTACTTCTGGGAAAAGAAAATAAATGTCATATCCTAGAGATTTAACTTTCAAAAAACAATTAATATTGGAAGAACACCATCAATGACTAGATTCAAATAAAATGAAGGCTAATTAAACTTCTCAGGTAAAGAAAAGTAGTACTTTTCTTCCAGTCTTCACGCAGAACATATCTTTTACATAATATAAAAGGAAACAGACTAAAGACTAAAACTTTGGTCCAGTTACATAGATTGCAAGAAAAATTAAAAAGTAGAATTTACTGAAGAGGGAGCAAGGTAACTTACTGGAGAGTGGGGACAATGCCAGAAGGATGCTTCGAGAGATCCACAGGCTGGCTCCCTTCTAATCCTTGAGGATCTGCCATCCGCAATCAACCTCTCTCTGATTCAAAAACACCATATATTGAACTTCAACAAGAATAAATTTTTTATAAAAAAACATACATACTGAACAAGGCCCTATGCTCAAAATAACTGTGGCAATCCAAAAGGATTCTTGAAAAAAAAAAAAAAAGAACTGAAAGTGGAAATGCATATAAGAAAAAGGTGGGAAATTACCTTACGTGCTCACTCCCTAGCAAGGAACGGTTACGCCAAGTTCCAACAGCTACTCACCAACCGTAAACAGGAGATTGCCTGACCAGACGAATAAGATAGTGAATGCATTAGATACGTTTAGTGGTGAATCACAATGTAGCCTATAGAGGTAAAAATAATTTCACACAAACTGTGAAAAAGAAATGAAATATGGCAGAGAAGTTAACTTCTGAAGCCATCAAGAAAACCTAACTTCACCAAACTAATTCTCTTTCTCAATCCATAAAATCAAAAGAATTCTCTTTCACCAACCTACTTCATCAAATTCGATGCCAAACATAGAGTTGAAAACTATTAGCCTCGAGAATGGTTCAAGAAGTATTCACATTCTTTGACAAGTTAAAAAATGACCCATTTTAACAATCCCATCACAGCAGACCGATGGTTCAACTCTTAATCGCAGAAAAAAAATCGAATTTTGCTTCTATTCCCAAACTCGGTTCCTTTAAATTAGAAACATTTAACAAAATGGGAAACCCCTAATTCCAACTATACCACCACCACCAGCAGAAAGAAAAGAGAAGAAGCTAAACGAAAACCCTCTTCCCGCCGACGAAAGTAGAACGGAAAATTTAAGGAAATGAGCTCCGGAGAAAAAGATTTTACCCTTTTGGTTTTTTATAGTGGTGTTGGGGCAACAGTGACCAAGGGGTTGTGGAATCGGTAGGGGAAAACGACAGAACCAGCACGGTGGAGTGAGGCCGCGATAATAGCAAAGAAAGGAGCTGAGAATGGCGGATGATATGGTGGAGAAATGGATTTTCCGGTGGGATGAGGGGCGGCGGCAACGGCGTTTAACGGTGGGAAGGCTCTGGAAAATGGAGCGTCGATCGGGGAGACTGTGCGGACTGAATCGATTTGAATTCGCGTTATTATAAATGGGTGCAAGGATTCCGTTTTGACCTTTTTATATCGGGTCGGATCCACACTTTTTTTTACTTTTTACTGTTTATTTTACGGTGTCATGTTGACTTTTAGTACCGTAAAATAAATGAGTGCAAAATTGGGATCTCGTTTCCACCTTTTATCTCTCGGGTCGGATCCACACACTCTAGTGCACCATTTTGAACAATTTTTTTTTTAAATGAAAACTGTATTACTTTTCTAGAAATCGTCCAGCAACGATTAATGATGAAAGATACATTCGAAACAAAAACACAACTTATAATCGAAACTATTACTGTTGTTGTATCTTGTAGATAAACCTATTTAGATTTTGCCAACACAACGATGGATATATCACGTGTCAGAAATCAATCTGATCAAGAATATATCTCTCACCATCTGATTAAAGTCACAAATCATAGATCTATCACATAAATCGATGATAACTGAATCTTTTTGAACCGCACGTTGCAAAAGAACGAACGAAACTACAAACAAATTTTAGTATTCCATGATGTATGCCAAAATTATTATCCGGTTTAGATTTTCAGCTCTATTGCAATTTGTACAAAAAATGAAAAATCCAAATTGGACAATATTTTCGGGACAGAGGGAGTATTAATTTGTTACTTATAATTATGATTAGAGGAATTACGAATTTTATGTTTTCGTTAGAGTGTAAAATCTTATTTAGTGTCTTGGTTCGAATTGTTCTTAAATATTTTGTCAAGTTAAAAATGTGGAACTTGCTAGATGCGCTAGGGAATTGCAGTTGGTTTCCTTTTCCTTGATGTTTAGATGTACTTTAAGATTTTTTTTAACTATATTATGAGGTATTGGAATTTTAAGATTTATGAGGTATTTTGATTTGTTCTAAGTTTTATTTAGTATATTTTATAAATTTAAAATAAAATTTAAAATATTTAAGGTTTTATTTTCAACTACAAAAACGTACTAAATGAAATTTAGGACAAATCATCAAGACAGGAGAGAGTATATTTAATGGGAATACCATTTGATAGCAAGTTTAATGGTGTTATGCTATCTACGATTTTTTAAAATAAATTTTCTTTGCTTATTTATCTAAACCTTATTCTATGAACATTAAATGCTGCAACCTTAAATTATTTACATTAATTTTATTATTAACTAGTGATAATAAAATTTTAAATTATAATTGCACAAAAAATTGTGAATTGTGATCATATTGGAAAAAATGTATGTATAATAGATCGAATTGAGACTCGTACCTTCAGATTGAATAAATGTGAGTATAGAAATTATACAACAAAATGCCAAAGTAAATGTGAGTGTAGGAATTATACAACAAATGCCAAAAAAATAAATAAACTACTGACATATATTTCATTACAAAAAATTGAGTAAAAAACTAAAAGAAGAAACAAAACCAATTGCTTGTGATGTTCATCAAGAACAAAGATGTACATCAATAGTTTCAAAATTTTAATTAGTTCATGATATTTTTTTTAATTTAACTTAAGCAGCAACTGGCAAAACTAATGATCTAGAGGAGAAAAAATCCCATTAAAATCCATGACAACATAACTTTGAGTAAGAGAAAAAGACACGTATAAGAATATATTAAAAAAAAGTGAAATAAAATATTAAAAAAAATTAGTTCTACATAAAAACATTTTTTTAGGTAAAATGTAAATTATATTGCGATGCACCCATCAAAATGTTCACACATTTACAGCCATTTACATTTTCCTAGCAATATTACAAATGTACAATACTGCCATTGTCAAAAAGGAAAAAGCACTATTGTCTCCTTTGAACTCAATTCGCATTTCACCATAAGCTTTTGGCCTGCAAAAAACCTTGCTCGTTCACTGTTGCATCGGATAGCTTTCCACGCACCCTCCATTTTAGTTCTTTCTGGATGTCTTCTATGATTTGCTCCACAGCTTTGTGTTTCCCTTCATGAACCATTTGGTTCCTAGCCTGCCACAGGTGGTAATAACCCGCAGCAATTACAGCAGCAACCACCTTCTGACAGATACTCTTTTTCTTCTATGCATACGCCATTCCACTCCAGTTTTTTTCCTCAGCCAGCGTTCAGGGAAATTGATCCAGCTTCTCAACTTCTGCCACAATTCTCTAGCAAACTGACAGTGTATGAATACATGCTCCACTGTCACTACACTCTGATGACATATGGGATAGTGATAATCTGCCAATTCCATTCCCATCTGCTGCAGCCGGTCTCTTGTGAGTAGTCTACCCTGCCAAGCCAACCACAGGTTGCAATAATGTCTAGGCACATTTAGTCTACTTCAGATGACTATTGATGCCTTTTCCTTAGGTACTCTTCCACTCAGAAACTTCACCCCTGAAGAGATGCTGTAAAGTCCACCCTGATGAGCTTTCCATCGATTATTCCTAAACTCTTCTTTCAGTTTATCCCGAATCCCCAATAACTTTTTCCAATGCCAACTAGAGTCCTACATTGCCTGCACCTCCCAGAACCCTTCCCTTTTCAGATACACCCCATGCATCCACCTAATCCATAAGTTATCTTCTTTTTTTTTTGTGCAAACTCCGAGATTTATTTCCCCAGAACAGCCATATTCCAGGGTACTTGACTTTAGGGTGTCTCAAACCCAAAACTATGGGAGAAAATGTTTCTAGGTTTAGGAAGTAGACATTTCTAATCTTCTCGCGCTTTGAAAACGCGAAAACACATATTCAACATTAAAATTTCGCGTTTCACAAACGCTAAAGTAATTAATTAATTTTTTAAAATATTGTTCCGGAAAAACAATGAAGGAAAAAAAGGGAATAAATTGGGACAAAATATTAGCGTTTTGAAAACGCAAATACGTAATTTCGCGTTTTCAAAACGCTTAAAAACATAAACACCATTAACAATTTTGTGTTTTAGATATGCTAAATTTGTTGATTAATTTTTTAATATATTGATCCGGGAAAAAAGGAAAGAAAAATAAATGACATTAATTGACAAAAAAAAATCAATTTTCGCGTTTCGAAAACGCTAAAACAACATTCGCGTTTTGCAAACACTTAAACGTGAATTCACGGATTCTCGGCGAGTGTTTTGGGATGGATTAATTGGGCTTTTGGGGGTTGGTATTGGAGGGGTTGGGTTCCGGGGCGGGCTTTGGGTTCTGGGTTACGGGGTGGGTAAAGATTTTGGGTTTTGGAATGGGTTGGGTTTACGGGGGTTGGGTTTCGGGTTTTGGGTTTAGGAGTGAGTTGGGTTCAGGGGGGTTGGGTTTTGTGATTATTACAAACTAGACACCCTAATATTTATAAAATGACACCCTTTTACTTTTTTTCTTATTTGAACCACGTACGATTGAATTTTTTTTTTTAATTACACCCTTAATAATAATTTAAAATTTTAACCCAAATAGTATGGTATTTTACACAATTTTGAATCTGTACTCTCTCGGTCCCAAAATGACGTTTCACTTTAGTGTCAATGACATTAAATAAAAATCATTTCGAAATAATAATGTGATTAGTGAACACTGATAACAATAATTAACATTGTACTACTTAGTTTGACTTGAACGACATCATTTATGGACCAAATTTGTTCTTTTTACATATATACTAGTTAGTTTTACTTAATTATAATCTGTTATTGATCAAACTTTTTGTTTTTTTTAATCAAATTTGTACTTTTTACATATGTACTACTTAATTTTACTTTAATGAAATCTATTATTGATCAAATTTGTTGTGTTTACCTATGAGATACTTAGTTTGAGTTAAACAGAACATGTTATTGATCAAATTTGTTCTTTTTACATACGTACTACCTAGTGTTACTTAAATTCAATTTATTTTATTAAGCATCATAATTTTTGGGGAAGGTATATTATAAAGATGTAAATCGGAACAATCAACAAATCCGATCCCCGCTTCACAAAAAAAAAAAATCATCTTACAAATTAGATCCCATCAACAAAAATGACCAAATTATCTTTAATAGGCAGGAGTCTAGGACTTGGACTCCAGTATAATGGACTGGATATTTATGTCTTTTTGGTCGTTCGACTGATTTTTGTGAAGTTATTTAACCCACAAATTATACGCGTTTCAGAAATCCAAAATTCTGATGATTCTGTGCCTTTAACCAACAAATTATTCTTGATGGACAAAAAAAAAAACATCAAGGAACAAATCCCTAAACCCCTTGACAAAATTACCAAATTACCCCTAATAGGTAAGAGTCCAGGACTTGGACTCTAATATAATGGACTGGATATTTATGTCTTTTCGGTCGTTCGACCGATTTTTGTGAAGTTATTTAAATAAAATATTCTTTTTTATTTTTTTCGCGCTTTAAAAATGCGAATATTTATTTAATTAATTTTTTTACCATTAATTTGTTACGATTAAGTTAAATTAATTACGATATCTTACTTTTAGCGTTTCTGAAACACGATAATAGTTTTTTAGCGTTTTTAAAACGCGAAATTTTTTGGAGAAGGTATATTATAAAGATGTAAATCGGAATAATCAACAAATCCGATCTCCCGCTTCAAAAAAAAAATCATGTTACAAATCAGATCCCATCGATAAAAATGACCAAATTACCCCTAATAGGCAGGAGTCCAGGACTTGGATTTCAGTATAATGGACTGGATATTTATGTCTTTTTGGTCGTTCGACTGTGAAGTTATTTAACCCACAAATTATACGCGTTTCAGAAATCCAGAATTCTGATGATTCTGTGGACAAAAATTACTAAAAAACATCAAGGAACAAATCCCTAAACCCCTCGACAAAATTACTAAATTACCCCTAATAGGCAAGAGTCCAGGACTTGGACTCCAGTATAATGGACTGGATATTTATGTCTTTTCGGTCGTTCGACCGATTTTTGTGAAGTTATTAAAATAAAATATTCTTTTTTATTTTTTCCGCGCTTTAAAAACGCGAATATTTATTTAATTAATTTTTTACCATTAATTAGTTACGATTAAGTTAAATTAATTACGATATCTTACTTTTAGCATTTCTGAAACGCGATAATGGTTTTTTAGCGTTTTCAAAACGCGAAATTTTTGTTTTAGCATTTTTAAAACGCGATTTTACTTATTTTCGCGTGTTTGAAGCGCGAAAGAATCAGTTTTGGCTACAATTTAAAACCTAGATCTATTTTGTTCTTCAAAATTTTTTTAGGTTATGTATAAGTAAATTTTCCCCATATTCCACACCCCAATAATTTTTGATCCTCGGTCCACCTTCTCCTCTTCCCTTACACATATTGTGCCATGCAACCAGAGAGATTACTTTCCCCGATTCTTTCTTCCCCCAGAGAAATTCACTACACAGTATCTCTACCTATACCACAACACTCTTAGGGATTAAGTACACCAAAGCTCAGTGGATATGCATGTGCATTAGTACTGAGTTAATAAGTTGTACTCTTTCCATGTACAATAAGTGTCGTGATGCCCGACTCCTTAGTCTCCTTGTGATTTTATCCACTAAACCCTGACAGTCATTCTGATTCCACATCCCTGGTGATAAGGGGAACCCTAGATAGTTTAGAGGGAAACTGTCCCTTTCAAACTCTACACATGCCTTAATTCTAGCCCTAGTTGAATCCGGAACCCCTGCCAGATAAATCTGAGACTTCTTCCAATTTGCATACAGCCCTGTCGTGGCTCCAAACTCCTCCAGTTTCCTCATTATAGTTGAAATAGTATTGGCTTCTCCTTTAAAGGCTATAATTAAGTCATCTGCAAAGCATAGGTTCACCAACTCTAAATTTTCGTACTGAGGGTGAAATTTAATATTGCCCCTCATTCTTAAACAAACGGGTGAGATATTCCATGAAAATAACAAATATCAAGGGGGATACAGGATCTCCCTGTTTAATTCTACACTTTCCCTTAAAAAATCCCACTAGGTTCCCATTGAGGTTTAGAGAGAATGTACTGTCATACATTGCATCATCCACCCTATAAATCTCTTTGGGAATCCAAAACCCACCAAAAGTTCATGAAAGAAATCCCAACTAACACTATCGTAGGCCTTTCTCAGATCCACCTTTAGTAGGCATCTAGAAGTAACAACCTTACGTCTATATAGGAAATATATTAAATATTACAATACGCCCCCGCAAACTGACGGCGGAGAAGAGAGAAGCCGAAGTTTGTCACGGAATCGAAAGAATAACTCCTTGGACAAGGGTTTGGTCAGAATATCAGCAACCTGATCAGCAGCAGAGATAGAGTTGACCGAAACAAACTTTCGCCGAACATGATCTCGAACAAAGTGAAAATCAACATCAACATGTCGGGTACGAGCATGAAACACAGGATTTTCGATCTCTATCCTAAAAACAAAGCCAAAAAAGAAAAGGAAAATGACTTCACTAATTTTTTTTAAAAAATAATGGGGATAATCTTTATGAAAAAACGAAAAGTTTTATGAGGGGAAAGAAATATTCTTGGAGAAGATTATGAATCTTGACAAAAAGATAACAATATTTTTAGAATTAGGGCTTTGGTCTCTTTTATATTTTATTTTAAACATCATAATTTTTTGGTTTTGAATTGAAGAAAAAACCTAAGGGATAATAAAGATGATTTTTCCAGTACAAATATCTTGGAGATTATCTATAATGATATTTGAAATTAGGACTTAAAAAAGTATGATATTCATTTATCATAGTTTAGAAGTATCTCTAATTAAGAGAAATTAAACATAAAACAATTGCCTACTTTTAATTCATTTATCATAATTTAACTGTAAGTACGTGAAAATTGAATAGTTATATGAAAAAATTTACTGTACCTAATTGAAATTTATTTTTTATTTTATTTTTCAATTGGCTATCCGAATCTAGATTCACTGCAAGTGTCCCACAATCTTTCTTTCTTAATATATAAAAATAGGATGCTAAAACTCAAACAAGAAAATAAATAAACCACCATTTAGGCAATGATTAACTGTGTGGATTGATACCATTGGACCAAAAAAAAATGTTTTCGTGTTTTATATCCATTATATATATAGAGTAATGATATAAATAGTGAGAAAAAAATAGTGAAAATGCATAGTAACTGATGTGTCTATAGTAATTTAAGGGTAAAAGGATAATTTTGGAGGAAAATAAAAAATTTCAACAGCAAAGTGACAACAAAATAGGGGTATACATCAGTCACTATGTTTTCTCACTATATTATTTCAGTAAGAGTATCATTTTCCATATATATATTTAATAGAAAATGATATATTTAGTGAAAAAAGATAGTGAGTGATGTAGAATATTCTCGGCCCGTAGTTTTTTTGTCACTTTCCTATTAAAATTTTATCTTAACCTAAAAATTATAATTTTACCATTAATTAATAAGTACACATATTTAGTAAACATAGTGTATTTGTCTTTTTATTAGTCACTATACTTTTTCACTATAATCAATATCTCTGCTCATATTTTAAAACATTTTGTTAATATATATAGTAGTTGCAACCAAAGTGTTTTCCTTTGGGAATGTCAGAGATGTGGACGTTGAAGGGAAGTGTATCCTTCTGTTGAGTGTTGAGCTTTTGGGTTGCAACTTGCAACTCCATTTCTCGCAGTTCCAATGGAACCATTGATTTGATTCGACTAATGCCAGGCTGCAGCTGCAAGAGGTAAATTACACTCTTGAAGTATTTTCAAGAAGTTCGATCACTTTTTAGTTTTTATTCCCTGTTGATGTTTAATTAGTTTCTGAACTTGTTTGCTGGTTTTTCCTTTTCAATCATAGTTGGAGAAAACTTGAGGCCCTTTCGTATTTGTCGCAGAGGATCTTTGTTTACAGGATAAAAGGTAATTTCCGGTTCCCCTACATCCCAAATCTGCAACAGGTTTACTTCTTTTCTTTTGATTATTGATAATTGTATTCGTTGGGGGCGTGAAGGTATTAACTGTTTGCTAATCAGCTAAGTTTTGTTTACATTCAATAAAAAAAAAAGAAGAAGGTATTTATGGAAGTAAAAGCACTAAATGTTTTCAGATTTTAGTCCCTTTTTTTTTTTTTTTTGGTTGATGATTTCTCAAATTTTGTGCTCCTGAGTGAAGTTTTCATACAGTTTAGCTTTCGGTGAAGCAGAATTATTGAAAAGGCAAAATGGATGAATATACTCGATTTGGTTACACCTTGGCTGCTTTAAAATCTCCAAGGCAACAAGTTGATTCTAGTTTCAAGACGAAAGTTGAGTTTCTTGAAATGGGTTCAAATTCGTGAAAATGCTTTTCTTGGCATTGAGACACTGCGAAGAAGTGGATCAGGGTGCTTCCCGCTTGTTTACTATCATGAATATGATTCAATCTCATTTAGAAGAAGAAGGACAAAGATTTGAGCTGATCGATTCTTTACAGTTACCCCTTTTAAGAAGTGAACAATCGCTTTGTACATTGACAGAAAAAATTGAGGATTGCAGGTCTGAAGTTAAGCAAAACTGCAGTATTTTGATGAATTATCAGTTGAAGTCTAAAGAGCCAGCTACAAGTGATGAGGTTTTGGGATTAATCAATCTAATGGTACAGAATCTGAGTGATTTAGCGGTTCTAAGAAGAGAGATGATGGTAGGCCCTCAAAAGGAATTGATGAAATCACTTCAAAAGGAGTTGCAATTCATGAGATGCTTTGTTGCTTTTACCGCGACAAGGTGCTTCGATTCTCAGAAATTTAAAGATATATTGTCTGAGATTCAAGCTTGGGCGAACCACATAGCATGTGTATCATATCTGATTTGGGTCGAAGGTATGGACCAGGATACTGCTTCAGGAATCTGTACAAGGCTTTCTGAACTCCTGCCTGAGAAAGCAGGCAAGTGTCTTGTTGTCTTGAAAGTTTCAAAGTCTGACACTTGTTTACTTGCTGAACTCATAACAAGCTTTGTTGATTTTCTATTGAAATATCTACACACCGACATTGAGAACCATCTTGAATCAATTCAAGAAGGGCTTGCCATCTTGTTGTCATTTCTCCTAGATTCACCTCAGGATTATCCAAAAGATAGGACGCTGATTTTGGCACAAGCTGATGTGTCTGTTTCTAATGCTATCACCTGGTTCTTTAGCCGGCATCGTGTCAAGAGGGAGAGTGATTGGATTTCTCTTCTTTCTGGTTTCCATGAAAAGATTAGCATAATCAAGGAAGAGGTTAGAATGTTTTGTATCCAAATCCCAGATGTTTGTGAGTTTAAATTTCTGAGGCCTGATGGGAAAAGATATTTTGATTTCATTTTGGAAAACCTACAGAAAATGATGAAAAGAAGGGATGACTTTAACCCTCTCGTAGAACGTAAAATTGAGACAGTCATGAGGGAGATAGAGCATTTAATGCCTTTGCTGCTTGATGTTACGCTCATGGAAGGCCGAACCGATCATCTAGATCCAACAGGTTTGTCAGTAAGAGTTATCAATATGGCATATAAGGCAGAATATGTCATTGACTTGTGCTCACTCATGGACACTCCGATCTGGTACAGCATGGTATGCCTTTCAGTTGTCAGTGCAGAAATTAAGAATACCAAGATTGAAATCGAGAACCAACTACAGGATGGCTTCAGATTATACCCCAGTGCAGAAAATGCCAGAAATGCCTTGAGGAGACAGGCAACCACTTCTCTAGTTGATGATGTTGTTCTTGGCTTTGAGGACCAGGAAACAAATATAATTGATCATCTTCTGGGGGGTTCAGAAAAACTCCAAATCATAGGGATTTTTGGCATGCCAGGCCAAGGTAAGACATTTCTTGCAAAGAAAGTTTATAACCATCCATCAATTCAATATCATTTTAGCATTCGCATGGACTTGTGTTTCTCAAGAGTACAAACCTAGAGATTTATTGTGTGATATATTAAGCAATATCACTGTCGTAACTGATAGAGAAGTCTCTAACATGAGTGATGAAGATTTATCTGAACGAGTTAGGAATTGCTTAATGGGAAGACAATACCTCATTGTTCTAGATGATACATGGGATGCTGGAGTTTGGAATGACTTGAGACTTTCCTTTCCTGATCAGAACAATGGAAGCAGGGTTCTCTTCACTAGCCGAAACAAATTAGCTGGCCATGGCAAACTCAAATTCATTTCTCATCCTCTTCGTCGATTTTCTGATAATGAGAGTGTAGAGTTGTTACTTAAGAAGGTCTTTGGCAAAGATGACTGTCCTCAAGATCTATTACAAATTTCAATGTCGATTGCCAAACAATGCAAGGGACTACCTTTGTTGATTGTTCTGGTTGCTGGTATCCTGTTAAAGTCTAAATACAGTTTGTCTTGGTGGGAATTGATTGCAAAAAGTTTGTGTTCGCACCTCTCCTCTGAAGGATGCATCGACACATTGGAACTCAGTTATAAACATTTACCGGATCATCTGAAGCCATGCTTTCTTTATTTCGGTGCCTTTGCTGAAGACAAAGAAATTAGGGTTCGAACGATCATCCAATTATGGATTGGTGAAGGGTTTATTAAAAAAACAGAAGGGTTCAGCTTAGAAGAATTGGCAATGGAATACATGACAGAACTAATTAATCGAAGCCTGGTGACTGTTGCCCAAAGAAGTTCAAAAGGCGGGATCAAAGCATGTTCAATTCATGATCTCTTACATAATTTTTGCTTGAGAAAAGCGAAGGAGGAGAGCTTTTTTCAGCTGGTAATCGAGCGAGATGTTGATCGTGGTTCTCTTGTTCCCATTAAGTACAGAAATTACCGACTTTGCCTTGACCCAGAGCTGCTACATCTCTTTGACACAGGACCTACTAGTCCTAAACCCGATGCCCTCTCATCTGTCTACTCTCTATCTTTCATTTCCAGATCCAAAAGGATGTATCCTATCAACTCCCGCATTTTCAAAATCTTCAGACTTCTTAAAGTATTAGATTTTGGGAGCATTATGCTGAACTCATCTTTCCCGGAATGCATAACCTTGATGATCCATCTGAGATACTTATCAATCTCAGGTAAAATCACTTACATCCCTCCATCAATAGCCGACCTTTGGAACCTGGAAACTTTAATAGTGCAGGGAGAGATCTTCCATGCTGTACATTTACCTGATACCTTTTGGAATATGAAGAGTTTGAGGCACGTGAAAGTATCGGAGGTGGCTTGCATCTTGTTTCCTAAAACATTTGGCAAGGTTAATGAGCCAACGCAATTGAACAATTTGCAGTCCTTTTCATTAGTGACTCTTCAGGATGCATATCAAGACTCGAAGATTCTGCTTCGTAGGCTTCCCAGACTCAGAAAACTGAGTTGCAGATATTCACAAGCGGCAGACTTCCAATATAAGATCCCTTATCAGCTTCCAATATTTGTCTCCCTTGGTGAACTTGAGACATTAAGCATCATCCATAGTACATGTGACTTTGTGGGCGGGAGCGGGTATGCAAGTTACAGTTACTTGACCCCTCCATTTCCAGTGATAAGCACTAGGACTTTCCCTCAGACGCTCAAGAAATTGAGTTTGTCCAAATTTTGTCTGTCAAGGAGGGCACTGTCTACCATTGGGCGTTTAGCAAATCTCGCGGTTCTGAAGCTAAGAAGGATGGCTTTCGAGATCTTCACATGGAAAGTCGAAGATGAAGAATTCCCAAAGCTCCAATTCCTGGAACTAAGCACATCGACTATAGAAGAATGGGATGCTCCTGATGATGACCCATTTCCCCGCCTTGAACGGCTTGTTCTCAAGGATTGTAAAAGTCTTAAATGTATTCCTTCGGGTTTTGCGAACATTTACAGCTTGAAGGTGATTGAACTGCACTCGTGCAGCATCAACGTCAAAGATTCAGCCAGGAAAATAGTTGCCGAGCAGCGAGATATGGGCAACCATGACCTTAAGCTAGTCTCTTTGTAGTGTATATATTAGTGAGTGTCACTTGTGATAACATTTGTACCAATGCATCAGTATTTGTTCCTAGTGTTATTGCACTTTTGATATTTCTATTTATTATGCATCATTATTTTCAGCTATAATGTCTGCTACACCAGTATCCCGGTAATGGTGAGCGTTCTAGACCAAGATCTTAGTGAAAGAACTGTTATGCAGCATCCCCAGATACTGTTGTATTCTCAAGCAGGAAAGTTTGGTCTTCAATCAGCTGAATTGTTTTTTCTGAGTCAAACTTTGGGTTTCCGCTGATTGAAACTAGAACATTTGCTGGATGGTTTGGGGGCGCTCTCTTTCATGTGAGTGTTTCTCTTTGTAGTATTAAACTTATTAAATTGAAAATTTATCCACTTCAATGTTGAATGAAGGTGTCTTAAATTGGAGCTGAATAAAGAAATGCTCACTATGAGCATTTTGCATGATTAATCTACAGATGAAGGTGTTTTAAAATATAAAGGAAAAAGTTAATTTTAGCTGAGCATGAATGAAGTAGAGCAATCTGCTTGAGTGATCTACAAATGGTTTAGTTTACATTGTGTTTCGTGAGATCGGTTCACCTCATTTTTTGTTTTTTGATGAACAATGCACAACACTTCTTTAAGCGTAAGCTTCTGAATGAACCAATCCTATGAAATGGTTGCCATCCATTGCTGGGGAGGGATCTTTATTTCAATATGTAATTCTAGTGGCCATTTGCTGATCGTAATTGAAGTCTTCGTGGCTATACTAATTACATTCTTAGCTACTGATCTCTTTAACATAATGAACCATGTCTATCTTTCAGCCATTCTGGCTTTTTGTTCTAGTCTTTGTCAGACCTTTCATCATCTTAAAATATACTCCCTCCGTGCCGAAATGATTGTCCACTTTGGATTTTTATTTTCAGTTCAAATTGTACTAAAAGTGAAAATCTAAACTGGACAATCATTTTGGGACAGAGGGAGTATATTCCATACCACAGTCTAGTTAGCTGGAATGTTCTTTTACAATGAGAATCTGCATTTTAATTCTGAAGTACATATAATAATTTTAATGCTGTTCCCTACTTTTTGTTGATACTTGTTTTCTTAAGGCAGCAGTTTAGGAAGTCTTATTGTTTAGATAAAAGCAATAATGAGACCTGATTTTGACTCTTGCAGGCCATTGTCGTCTTTGTCATAAGCATACACGTGTATGCTTTTGAGAAAATTGAGATGGAGGAGCTCTCAATGGTCGTGTTATCTTTTTGCATTTGGTTGCCGGCATTTGTTATTGCGTTAGAGACCAAGTTTGGTACTCTCCAATCTTTTCATTTTATCCTTAAATTAAATTGAATAGGCCTGTTTGGGCAGGTTCACCGAGGGTGGATTGGTCGGGGTGGGAAAAATAAAAATCTTATGTTAGAGAGAAGGATTTCGTGGTTTCTTTTGGCACTCAATCTTCAGAAGTTTTTAACTGGAAGGCGGACTACATACTTAACTGACTTCATTTTGTGCCTTTGAGAGTGTTTTCTTCATTAGCCTGTTCTCTACAGTTTTGGGAATTTTTGGACCTGCTTATATTAGTGAATGAAAATTATTGTTATAAAGGTGATTACTCACCTGGAGTGTGATTTGTGCAGTTCCTTCGCAGCACTGCAACATGAAACTTGTTGGCATTCTACATGATCAATTTGGTAGTCAGTGCTGTGCCAGCCTCTTGGATGTGTACAATAATGTTTCTCCTTTTCAGACAGCCATCTTATTGGATTACGATGCTTGTAAGCTATTCTTCTTCTTCTTCTTCTTTATATCTTACTTCCTTCTCTTCCATGAATCTCTTGACACCTGATATCATTTTTCTAATTGTCTCGGATCCATGGAAAAGATCATTCCGGGTAGATATATGTCATTGGATGTTCTGTTTCCTTTATGTCTCAGATCATGTCAAAGAAGTTTGTTAAAAATGTTAGTGAAGACCCTTACAAGAAGTTTTGCCGTTGGTTTCTCAATTCAGTAGTTGCAGCCCTGTATATGAACCTCTGCTCTCCGATTCTGCAAATACCACAAGGCGATCTTTCAGAACTGCAGCGCCTTCTGATTTATTTCAGTCACAATCACGGCGTTCTTCCAGCTATTCTAGAAATTGCAAGGATAACTAAAATTGATTCAGATGAACCAGAATTAAAGAAATTGAGTCCTAATTTTGTCAACTTAAAGACCTTTAATTGAGTTTTTAGTCAATTGGCAGGTTCCTATGCTGGAATTTTCAGATGACAGTGTTAATTTATTGTAAATGTACCGAGGCTATTAGTTGTTAGGTTGAAGTTTTTTTCCCCAAACCATAGGAGCCCCAAACGGGTATCTTCAGAAGACTGCACATTTCATAAAAACAAACCACAGGCTGAAAGTGCGCAAAGATTGAGACTTAAGAGTGAAAGAAACAAAGAATTAGGTTACAGGAACGTTCATGTTCATCCAGTTGTGTCTTTTTTCTTGTTAATTTTGTTGAACAAGCTTGTGATCTTTTGGTAGACTAGATTAATGTTTTGTTGTGGATTGTAGCTGTTTAACAGTACTATAATGATTCAATTGAACTTTGTGATTGTTATTTTCTTTTCCTTTCTTTCTTTTAATTTCTTGCTCCCATAAAAAGGTTCAGAACTTCAGATTCCTGAAGTTTCCACTTTGATATGTTGCAGTAAGAATAAGTTTGAAACAGGCTGCAAATAAATTTCAACCACGAGTATCACACTTGCATAACGATTTCGGAGCCGTAGACATCACTGTAGCTTTCAGATGCAATTCTTGGATAAGACACGATCAATCATAACTCAGAAGATTGTTACACATGTACTCTCTATTTCATTCAACCACCAAAAAGGAGAAAAAAAAATAGTTTCATATCTGCAATTTACAACAGCCAATTTATCTTCCTACACCTCTGAATCCATTCTGTTCAAAAGCCCATTTGGAACATATAAAGCACAAGTCTCTTCTTGTTTTCAAAACTGTGTTTGGTTAACTGTCAGGCTATTTAATGTTAATTAAAACCTCTTACATTCATTCATTGTAGCTAAGGCAATTCTTCCCTGGAATCAGCTCTTCTTCGATTTGACAGCAACTCCTTTGTATACTGTTACTTTATTCTTCAATGCCTCGCGTCTTGGGCGTGCAATGGAATTGTTCGGATCGAAAAGCAGAGCCTCTTCGAATGCCTTTAGGGCTGATTTGAAATCCTTCTTCTTCTCGTAGGCGTCACCAAGGTTGTTCCAAGCTGTTACATAACCTGGTTGAAGTTTTACTGCCTTCTCAAACTGCATTATTCCTTTGTCTAGTTTTTCATCCCGTACATAACTGACGCCAAGCGCATTGTAAACCTATTCAAAAGTTGCAGCAAAACAATGTCTCATTCACAAGATGACAACTTTTTAAGAAAAAATTCCTAAAAAATATTAGTGCTTTTAGGAAGGCTGAGAACATATGAATTTTTCATACTTGAGCAAGGTCCTGATCATCACCATCCCATTTGTCAATGGCCTGAAGCAGATACTTTGTAGCAGCTGGATAGAACTTCCTTCTCAGCATTACAGCTCCAAGTTCAAAAAGCTCTGTTGCACTAGCATCTCCACTCCTTACTTGCTCCTGCAAGTTATAAGAACATATGTTGAGAACAAGATAGGAGATGATAACTATAGAGTAACATGTTTGCTTGCATAATTAATACTACATCCACAGAATTAAAGATGATGTACCCACAACATAAACGGTTACGAGTATGTTGTGATATTTCTTTTCAAAGAATCTGCCTAAGGAATTTTGTACAGGAAACACTCTCCTTTCAAACAAATCTGGTTTTACTTCAAGTGAAAACTCATCGAAACCAGGTATCCAAGGAATAAACCTCCCTCAATAAAAAAGGTCTCTCACAAATGTCAACAATAAACATTCATCTAATTTCTGTAAGATGAAGTAAAAGTTGGAAACTGTCAAACATTAGGCACTCATGTCGCACGACAGCTGAAGACAGCAAATAGTTCATGCAATTTATCATGGTTTTACTATGTCCTGTAAGATATCTCCACTCAGAAACCACTTAAATTTTTTTACAAAGAATATACAAGAGTTAATCCCCTTCTCTACCACATCAAGTTAAAAAGCTGGATTTCAGATTTTAAACACTTCCTGAGATTTTCAACACAAAAAAGATTGAAAGATTAATCATTTGTGGTCCAACACTAAGGCTCCTTTAGTTTTGGAGAACATCCCATGCTTTGCTTAACTTCTAAATTGGAATTTCTATCATTTCTTCACAGCTTTTCCATTATAACTTTTGACCAGCTCAACCGTTATCCTTCACTTGGGCTTGGATCTTTTCATGCTAAAAATATTCAGCGTAGGTAGATAAATTATAAATGCTTACTTGCAATTCTTTTGCAGATAGATCAAGCTCCCTACGGACAAGAACCTGACGTATCACAAAGAAACTTCCGACCCCAAGCAATGCCAGTAGCAAAAGCAAGTAAGTGAGCTGAATTCCTAATTCAAACAATTCCCCTGTCTCATAAACTTCATTTATTCTGATATTCTCACTTGCTAGCGTGACTTGTGCTGAAGCTAACCAAAACATTACTCCACTGCAAAAGCCCGAAACATACACGGCGTTCCTTTGCGCAAAAGTTACCCCTTCTTCAACAAAAAGATACCTTGAATCTTCTGCAGCAGGATAATATTTACAATTTGATGCTTATATATATGAAACTACCAAGTCATGTTACAGGAAAAAAAGAAAAAAAAAGAAAAAAAAAATAAAGGCAGAATAGGTATGTCGGGAGGCATATTAAATTACCTCATGTGGATCATGTTTCACGTCACTAGTGTATGAATGATTATTGGCTAACAGCAGATATGATGGAGAGTCAGAACAAAATTACTAGTGGAAAGATCAGTGAACTTCAAGTTAAAGGTTCAGCTAGCCTATGTGGAGTAAAGAGTGCCAACTTTCTTTTGATAGTTCCATGGTTCCCTTATCTAGAGAACTCACAAAGAAAAACGTTTTGAACCACAGGTTCCAAGAATAGTTGACACTCGTTCTTTATATCTGAAACTTTTCCTCCAAAAACAAGTTTGCTTGCAAATAGAGATTTATCGAAAACTTTAGCAGGAGGCTAAAACTAAATAATCCAATATGTTTCAGAAAAAGGGAATGCAGGCACAGAAGTTTTCGTTTGAACCTCAGCTTCTTCCTCTGAATAGAGTTTTCAGTTTGTTTCCCTTTCAATCTGAAATTTTAAGTGAATAGTTTCACTCATAAATTAAGCTCCATCAAAAGCATGTAACAAGAACCTTTAAGGTGAGTGTAATCGTAAAAGTAACTATGTTACTGTAAAGTTTAGGATAATTTAGGACCAACGTTTTTACTACCAGTAATTTCATGGATTCTCTAAGGAGTTACATCTACCAGTAACATTTCCTTCTTCAATTCTACTAAACGATGAACTATTTCCTTGTCAAACAACCCCATCACAAGAATAATAGAACAGGAAACATAACATGATAAACTGGTTTCTTTCCATGTGTACCATAACTGTTTTCCTGCTATGCAATCAGCTCAATCTTCTCTGTTACGTGACAGAGAGAAGTATATACACATATCTTCTGAACTGTCATCAATATTTGGAACATAACAAAAACAAATGCATATATGTGGAGGACAGTTCCAAAAGTCATAAAAAGATACTTCTGAAGAGATAAAGAAAGTTACCTTCTGCTCTTGGTAAAAGCGAGATTGAAATACTTCTCCGTTCCTTTCCAAATATCTGTGATGGTTGGAATTGCACAAAAAGTTACCAACTACAAGAGGTAGCGACTAGTGCCAATGAACTGGAAATCTCTGTCTACTATAGCTACTGGAGTATTGGTTATGTAGAGTCAACATTCAAACACAGTGATCAAGATCAAGTAGCCCCAAGCAGGACACATAAGAGAAGAAACAAAGAAACAATCAGATTGAAACCCAATCTCCTTTTCTTATAGCAGAATGCATCTAAACATACTCCCCAGAGAATCCAAAAAAAGCACCTTTATCTCTTTTACTTAGGTAACTTAGTTCTTGCCCTTCTCCAAACCTCCATGAATTGAGGACTTGAAAGTCAATTTTAGTTTCTGCTGAAAAATTAGATTATCACTACCAAAATGGACTTAGAATAAAAAGTACCGCAAAATTTGACACCAAATACTTGGAAACAAAGTTAGAATTTAGGATTTTACAACTGCAGTTGGAATCAAATTGGATAGAATTCATCCCACAGGCAGTCCTAATTACAAGTGCTCCAGTTCCATTTAAGCAAAAGTAAATAAGGGAACTATACAACCATCACTTCTATGCCAAACGGAGCAGAGCATGTAAAGATACTCAAAACCAAATCAATACTATTAGAAACCAAATAAGACAACCCCTAAACCATCCAAAACAATAATCAGAAAAATTGAAGCAGAGGAAAAGGGATTGTGAACCTGACAAGAGAACTTTTTCGGAAGCCTGAACTTGGGATGAACGAATGACCACTGAAATGAAGCTGAGATACGAGCATTATCAGAGTATTTATGGGTTGAAGTTAGAATTGGATGCTGAAGTTTCAGAGGAAAGCCCTGTAGCTTTAAAGCTGGAACAATGGTGGACTGAACTATCATCATAATTTTCTTCTTTAACTCTGTAACAATCAGCAGCCCTTTTCGTTATTTTGAAGAGGGAATCAATCAAAACATATTAATGGGCTTTTGAAATTTCTTGCAAGAATGGAGATTGGAGAATGGGGGAGAAGAAAAAAAATCTGGGAATGGCTTAAAGGAAGGATTGAAGATAAGTCAGTTAATCATAACCAACGCCCGGTCTCATACCATACGTTAACGGTTAACAGTAGTAAATTCTAAACTGACCGGTTTTCAAAAGAACCGGCCGGTCCTAACAGATTTTGTCTCTTATCTAAATGAACCCAGTTTTTGGATCTTTAAAATTCTCATATTCAACATTTTTCAACTTTATTATTATTATTATTATTATTATTATTATTATTATTATTATTTTTGGTTACGCTAGAAAATTAAACAATACGTTGCATGGATAAATGGTGATTTAACACTTGAAGCTGGCTCACATAATTTATAAAAATATTATGTGGTTGGTTGTTGCTTTATGTGGTTGGTTGTTGCTATCGATGCCAAATAATTAATCAACACGATGAGAAGAAAATTTATAATAACTTTTACCATTGAATCTATATTATTCACTTAAGTAAATAAATATTAGGATGAAAATGCATAAACATGGATGATTACGATAAACAATTTATGTAGTAAAAGCAGCAAATTGACAACAACCATGTTTTGAGTTGCTCATTTCCAATCTGAGCAAATTTGCTATGATTCTGGAGCATCTGTCAAATTAATTAACAGATTGTATGTGATATATATTATCCGATTTTTATAGGATCCTAAGAATTTTCTTATATATATAAAATAAAAAGAGAAAAAGAATTTTCCCCAGTTGAAGAGAAATGAATAATGGGATGCTTTATTTTTTTTCCCCAACTTTGGAGGTAATTCCATAGTTTTTTATTTTTTAAAGTTTTGGTAATTAATCTTTTTTTTTTTAAGTTTGTTATCAAAATATTGAGGAAGCTTGTTATGGATTAGTATTACTATATATATGTCTCAGTAAACTGTAAATGCTAGGACGTTAAATGTGTAACGCTAGACTTTACTATATGTATTTCAGAAATTCACGATAAATAGCAGAACAATTTTCGGCTATCCTAATAGGGTTTCCTGTCATGGCATCCGAGTAGGTTGTTTACTCTAGCCGCCTCTTCCTTCGAATTTTTTTTTTCTGATCGCCGGGTTTCTTTTTTCTTTTCTGATCATGACGACTGGTAATGATGATTCTATTTCTGGTACAAATACTGTCGAGACTGGTGATGATTTAGTCCGTCGGAAAACCATTTCTCCATATGATCTCTCGGCTAGTGATAATCCGGGATTGATCATTTCTCCAGTTCAACTCCGTGAAGGTAATTACCTTGAATGGGCTTCTTCTGTTCGCCGTGCTCTTCGTGCATGAAAGAAATTCGGCTTTGTCGATGGATCGATCAAACAGCCGAGTGAAACTTCTTCCGATCATGAGGATTGGTGGACGAATCATTCTTTGATAGTTTCTTGGATCATGAACACCATTGAACCTGTGCTGCGTACCACCATTTAGGAGTTTGATGAAGCCTCCGATCTCTGGCAGTATCTTCACGAGCGTTTTTTCAGTGGTTAATGGTCCCCGTATTCAGCAATTAAAAGCCTCTCTTGTCGATACCAAGCAGGAAGATATGACCATGTCTGCGTATTATGGAAAATTGAAGAAATTGTGGGAGGAATTGGCCGATTTTGAACGTCCTCCAACTTGTTCTTGTGGTCGCTGTCTTTGCCGGCTGGATGCTGCTTGGGAGAGACAACGTGAGACCGAAAAAATTCATCAATTTTTGCTTGGCTTGGATAGCTCCTTGTACGCTGCCGCTCGGTCGAATATTCTCGCTCAAGACCCGTTACCCCGGTTGAATAAGGTTTACTCCACAATGGTGCAAGAAGAACGTGTTCTTAACATCACTCAAGGTCAATCTGTTGCTTTGCCGGAAGTCATGAGTTTTGCCGTGAAAGCTGCTCCCAAGTTGCAGTCCCGATCATCCGCCACCGCTTCCAAAACTTGCACCGTTTGCTCTCGTCCAGGCCATGACGCAGCAAGTTGCTTTCTGGTCGTTCCTTGTCCTCATTGTCATCGTCCCGGTCATGATCCCAAACACTGTTTTGAAATCATCGGCTACCCGGCATGGTGTAATCAGTCGGCCGGTAATGATGGTTTAGGTAGAGGATATGGAAGTGCTGCCGGTCGAGGTTGCGGAGCTGTCGTTCCTTCTGCCGGTCGTGGATTGGGTCGTGGAGCTGCTGCAGGCCGTGGCGTTCCTCGTGCGCATGCTGTTTTTGCGGGGGCTGCCGTCGGGGCGGATTCTTCTATTGGCACGGTGGCGAGAACTAGTGATGCTACTGCTAAATTAATCAAAACTGCTACAACCGGCTTGACTAAAGACCAATGGGACTCTGTGGTGAGTTTTGTCAATACTGCGACACAAGGTTCGGTTGATTCTTTAACCGGTACGTTTTCTACCAATGAATGGATGTACGATTGTGGTGCCACACACCATATGACCGGTTTCTTCAACTTTTTGGTTGATGTTCATGACATTATTGCTCGTCCTGTACGGTTGCCGAATGGGTGTTTGACTCTGGCTACACAAGCTGGCACTGTTTGTCTTAGTCAGCATGTGACTCTTTCTAATGTTTTATATGTGCCTAGTTTGAAGTGTAGTTTAATTTCTCTCTCTTAATTATTGGGAGATTTAGATTGTGAGGCGCATTTTACTCATACTATTTGCTTTGTACAGGACCGTATCTCGAAGATAGTGATTGGATCGGGTGAACAATTGGGGGGCCTATATTTCTTCCATAGCTTTGTTGAGGCAATGGCGGCACCAATACGTGTAGAGGGATCCTTAGACTTGTGGCATCAAAGGTTGGGTCATCCGTCTTTCAAGGCGCTCGAAAAGTTGTTTTCTTTCAATTCTTTAGTTTCTCATGCTAGTTCAAATAAAGTGTGTGATGTATGTTTTCGTGCAAAGCATTCTAGAGACAGATTTCCGCTTAGTGACTCTAGTTCTGTTGAAACTTTTTAGTTGATTCATTGTAACTTGTGGGGTCCTTATCGCACTCCTGCTTCTTGTGGAGCACGTTATTTTTTAACTATAGTGGATGATTTTTCAAGAGCAACCTGGATTTATTTACTTCCTGATAAAAGTGTTGTTTCTGTAACTTTGCGTAATTTTGTTGCTAGGGTGAATCGACAATTTGATAAGTTAGTTAAGGCTGTTCGAAGTGATAATGGTACTGAGTTTCTTTGTTTGGGTCCTTATTTCGGGAAAATGGTATTCTTCATGAGACTTCTTGTGTTGGTACTCCTCAGCAAAATGGTCGTGTAGAACGTAAGCATCAGCACATTTTGAATGTTGCACGTGCCTTACGTTTTTAGGCCAATTTGCCGATTGAGTTTTGGGGTTGTTGTGTTTTGACTGCCGGTTACTTCATCAATCGCATTCCTACTCCAATTCTACATAATTCTACTCCGTATGAGAAATTGCTTGGAAAACCTCCTATTCTTGATCATTTACGCGTTTTCGGCTGTCTTTGTGATGTTCATAATCAAGATTGTTCTGGTGATAAGTTTACTTCTCGCAGCCGAAAATGTGTCTTTTTGGGGTATTCTTTTGGGAAAAAAGGTTGGTCGGTTTATGATCTTGAGTCTAAGATTTTTTTGATTTCCCGGGATGTTAAATTCTGTGAATCCGAATTTCTTTATTCGGTGCCCAGTCTTAGTGTTTCTTCTAATGTTCCTTTGTTTGCTTCTGGGGCTTAGCCTGATGTGGTTTCGGAAAGTGATGTTGATGAGCCTATTTCTGTGGTTGTTCCTTCCTCAGGGTTACCTTCTGATTCCGCCCCCCTCCTGTTTCTAGTGGTGCTGCCGACAGGGAGGGGTTCTCCACCGCCTGTTTCTGATCCACCTCCTGAATTACTGGGTCGTGGTCATCGCACGAAGCTTCCCTCTACTCGTCTGCGTGACTATGTTCATGACACTATTCTCCCCCCTCCTCGTTCATCAGGTCCTTCATCGTCTTCAGGTACGCCGTATCCTATAGCTCAGTATGTTAATTGTAATTCCTTTTCTTCGGCCTATTAGTCTTTTTTGGCTGCTGTGTCTACTACTGTTGAGCCTCATACTTTTGCTGAAGCCGTCTCAGATGAAAAATGGCGTTCAGCTATGCAACTTGAAATTGACGCACGTGAGAAGAATAATACTTGGAGTCTTGAGTTTCTTCCTCTCGAGAAAAAGGCCATCGGCTGCAAATGGGTTTATAAAATAAAGTATAAATCCGATGGTTCTGTTGAGCGGTATAAAGCCCGCTTAGTCATTTTGGGCAACAATCAGGTTGAGGGTCTTGATTATAAGGAGACTTTTGCTCTTGTTGCCAAAATGGTGACTGTCCGCACGTTTCTCGCTGTTGCTGCTGCGAAAAACTGGGAACTTCATCAGATGGATGTCCATAATGCCTTTCTGCATGGTGATATTCATGAGGAGGTTTACATGAAATTACCTCCTGGTTTTCGCTCTACTTCCCCTGGTCAAGTCTGCCGCTTGAAGCGTTCCCTTTATGGCCTTAAACAAGCTCCTCGGTGTTGGTTCGTTAAGCTTGTTGGGGCTTTAAAGCGGTATGGTTTTTGTCAGTCTCATTCTGACTATTCCTTGTTTACATTTGACAAGGATTCTGTTCATCTGAATGTGCTTGTTTACGTTGATGATCTTCTTGTTTCTGGCAATGATTCTTCTGCTATGGCTGCCTTTAAGACATACTTGAGTAACTGCTTCTATATGAAAGATCTTGGTGTTCTTAAATATTTTCTTGGTATCGAGGTGGCTCGAAATTCTTCTGGTATTTTTCTATGCCAATGAAAGTATGCTTTGGATATTCTCTCAGAGGTTGGCTTGTTGGGTGCCAAACCCTCTGGTTCTCCTTTAGATCAGAGTCATCAGCTTCCGCTTGCTACTGGTGATCCTATTCCTGATCCTAATAGGTATCGTCGCTTGGTTGGTCGCTTGATCTATCTCGCAGTTACTCGTCCTGATTTATCCTACTCTGTTCACATGCTTTCTCAATTTATGCATAATCCTCTTCGCGAGCATTGGGATGCTTCTCTTCGAGCTGTTCGTTATTTGAAGGGCAATCCTGGTCAGAGTATTCTTTTACGTGCTGATTCTGATTTACGCCTTTACGGTTGGTGTGACTCCGATTGGGCGGGTTGTCCTTTGACTCGTCATTCTCTTTCTGGTTGGTTCATTCAGTTGGGTACTTCTCCTATCTCGTGCAAGAAGCAGCATACTGGGGCTCGTTCTTCCGCTGAAGCTGCATATCGTTCTATGGCTTCCATTACATGTGAGTTGATTTAGTTAAAGTCTCTCTTACTGTGTCTTGGTGTTGCTCATTCTTAGCCAATTCAGTTATATTGTGATAGTCAAGCTGCTCTTCACATTGCTGCTAATCCGGTCTTCTATGAACGGACCAAGCATATTGAAGTCGATTGTCATTTCCTTCGTGATGAGTTTCTTAAGGGTACTATTTCTCCTAGCTTTGTTTTTACTCGGGTACAACTTGCAGATATTTTTACAAAAGCCTTGGGGAAGCGAGAGTTTGATTTCTTCATTGGCAAGTTGGGCATTCAGAATCCGCATGCACCAACTTGAGGGGGGTGTTACGGATTAGTATTACTATATATATGTCTCAGTAAACTGTAAATGCTAGGACTGTAAATGTATAACCCTAGAATTTATTATATGTACTTCAGAAACTCACGATGAATAGCAGAACAATTTTCGGCTACCCTAATAGAGTTTCCTGTCAAAGCTAATGGATGAACAGAATGAAAAGTTGGTTTGCGTTTTCATTAATTGAACGAAATCACCTTAAAAAAAAATGAAACTTAAGCTTAAAACATTATTGGTTTTTTTTTTAAAATTTTTTTTTTTGAAAATATTGGTTAATTCCTCTTGTAATTACCTTGGGTACAACACCAAAAGAAAAAAAACAGGGTACTCTGCAAATCTTAAGACTAATCACTAAAAGTATTAAAAAAATGAGTCTTTCTCAACTGATAATGCTAAATTTACATAACATCTCGAAGATGTTCTATCCAGTGAAATTAGAATTATATATTTCGTTAACCAAAATATTTTTACATAATGTAAAACATCTTAAAGCGGGAACTGTATTCCAGAATGCAGCATATCATGAATTAAATCGACAATACGATAGGTTATGATTAGAATTGGTTCAAAAATAGTGTCACACATAAGGTCTGTAATATGACAAAATGGACCTTGTTTTTGTTGCTGTTGGAGGAGAGAGTATAATTTAGAATTAGTCCTAGAAAATAAAGTTGTGCAACTTCATTATTGGTGGCCGCAAATAAAAATTAGTTTGAGTAAAATATATATTAATTTAAATTATAAATTATTTTGTAAATCCCTTTTATATATATTATTACTTTATTAAAGCAGAAGACATGAACTTTATGTGGCAACTACGTATGCATCTGTTTTGGCTCCAATGCACCATATTTCAGATTTCAGGAGTCTTTTTGCCACGTGTAAGTCTCTTTTAATTAAAAGTTATATAATTTTTTTTTTTAAAAAAAACACATGTTTTACTACAAATAAGGATCAGTTACATTTCAAACGAATGGATATATTAATTCAAATTCAAATGTCCAATCGTATAATTTTGCAGGCTTAATATAAACAAAAAATAAAAATACCTAAATCCAACAATTAAGAATAATACCTTATAAATTAATTATTTATTATTTCCTTATAACCTCAGATTTATAGATATATTTTTTTAAGCCCCAAACCATAGCATAAATGATATATACGCCAAATTAATTCCTCAAAAGTAGTAATTCGATTAGATTTTAATAAAATAGTAATTTAGAAGGGGCGCCCGGGCATCTGCCTGCCAAACATCTAGTATATTCTTAAGAAAAAAACAAAAGAGACTTTGATCTCTTTAGTGGGAAGGATTAGAGGTAATGATGGTTATGGATTATAGTAGTTTAATTAGTCAATTTGCCGGTCATTGGAGTCTTTGTTTCGTTAAAAAGAAACACATTTTGTGTTATTTCTTTAGGGGAAAAAAACAAAAGCAAAAGCAAAAGTGTCTAAGCTAAAATGATTGGAAATGTTTAATGTGTTGCATGGAAACTTCATAGAAAAAAAAAAAAAAGAGTAAATCGATATGTACAGAAACAATTCGTTAATTCTACAAAGGTTTCTGTTTTATGTAACCCAAAATTCTAGTCCTTTGATACCAGGAAAAAGAAGAAAAAACAACCCAGAAAAGATTTCAAGAAGAAAAAGAAAATGGCAGATACAGTTATTGGTGTCACTATAAAACTTGTACTGGAGAAGGTGATTTCTCTTGCCACCAATAGGGTGGGTTTGATGTTAGGATTCAAGAAGGATTTGGAAGCCCTGCGGAAATCAGCTGCCTTGATCCAAGCTGTGTTGGATGATGCAGAGACTAAGCAGGATGACAGCCAGATTGTTCGAATTTGGGTGGAGGAAGTTGAAAAGCTGGCTTTTGATGCTACTCATGTTTTGGAAGAGCTCAACTATGAGATTCTTGGTCGAAAAGTAAGATCCATGAACAACCCGAATCGATGGAAGGTACGTTTAATGTTATCCGCTTTCACACATGATCATTCTCTTTGTTGGAAGATTGGGTCTAAGATTAGGGAGATCAATGACAAGTTAGCAGGCTTCAGTAAGGAAGCTAATGAGATTGGATTAATTAGAATTGCAGCGGCTTCGATATTGATCCCTGCTGCTAATTCTTCTGTTGCTGGATTCTCTATGAATCGAGAAAGCAACTCGCTTGTTCCACAGTTTGTTGTAGGAAGAGCTAAAGAAGAATCTGAGATTTTATCCATATTGTTAGGCTGCTCTGACAGAAAAGTTGTTTCTGTTCTTCCCATAGTTGGTATGGCCGGATTAGGGAAAACAACATTGGTGAAATCAGTTTACAACCACCAACAGATCAATAGTCATTTTTCGAAAAAAATTTGGATCTGCGTGTCCGAAAATTTTGAGGTCACAGAGTTGTTCAAATTGATCTTAGAGTCTTTGTGGGAAGAGGAGGTAGCATTGTCTAGTCAAGATGTTATAGTTCAACACATCCGGAAAGAGTTTCGTGGCAAAAGGTTTCTCTTAGTTCTTGACGATGTTTGGAATGAGAATCCGGAATTGTGGGATTCATTTCTTGTTTCCTTGGAGGGACTAAGCTCCACCAATGGAAGTTGTTGTCTTTTGACTACTCGTCTTCTGACAACAGCAAGGATTGTGTCTGATCACGAACCGTATTCTCTAGGAAAGTTAACAGATGATGCTTGTTGGTCCATTATTACACGAAAAGCGACTAATGGTGGAACTATGCCAGCGGAGTCCAATGTTCTTAGAGACCAAATCTTGAACAGGTGTCAAGGTCTACCTCTGGCTGCAAATGCCATAGGAGGGTTGTTGAATTTGCAGAGAAAAGAGGATTGGTTTCCTATCATTGAAAAAAAGATTTTGAGGTTTACCAAAGGTCATGAAGGTGGCGATGGTGTTATGCAAATTCTCAAGTTGAGCTTCGACCATTTACCATTCATAGCCATTAAGAAATGTTTTGCTTATCTTTCAATCTTTCCCAAGGATGAAGAAATGAAGGGAGATGAACTGATTCAACTTTGGATGGCAGAGGGCTTTCTTTATCAACCCAATGTTGAGCAGGGAGGTTTACTAACGATGGAAGAAGTAGGCGAAAAGTATCTCAGAATTTTAGTGCAAAGTTCCTTGTTGGAAGAAAGTTTTGGTTACGAGGGGCACCGGTATATATTGCACGATCTTGTTCATGACCTAGCAGAAATAGTTTCAAAGACAGAAAGATCTGAAACAAGTAATGGTGTGATCATGATAAACCATAATCAGGGGAGATACCTTGCATTAGTCTCATCCAAAGAAGAGAAGGAGAATGTCTTGAATAATCCGCAGTTTGTTCGGACCTTATTGACAAATGGTAGCATATCACCCAAAATGTTAGCAAAGTTTACGTACCTACACGTGCTAAAATTTTGCAGTGAAGAAATAGAGAATTACTTCCCCTCCATTAGCAAATTGAAACATTTATGCTATCTTGACCTTTCAGATTGTAGCATCAAGGTTTTGCCTGAATCTCTTTGCAAGCTTTATAATTTGCAAACGTTAAGGCTACCTGATTGCTATCTAACTCTGCCGCGAAAGCTGAACAATCTGATCAATTTGAGGCATCTTTACTATTTCAATGTCGATGAGGAATTCCAAATGCCAGAAGAGTTGGGACGGCTGACTTGTCTTCAGACGCTAGAGTTCTTCAACATAGGAAAAGGTAACGGTTTTGGAATAGAAGAACTCGGTTACATGAATGAACTCAAAGGTTGTCTGGTGATACGCAATCTTGATTTAGTGAAAGGAGAACAAGGAGCGAAACTAGCGAATTTGTCAGAAAAGCGAAACCTGAGGAGGTTAGATTTGCATTGGGGAATCATAAATCACCATGGAACTGGCGATGAGAATGTGTTGGAAGGCCTCACACCTCATCCAAATTTACAAGAGCTGATTATTTTCCGTTTTATGGGTAGTCTGTTCCCTGAATGGCTTGGAAAGTTGCCAATGTTAGTCAGATTGGAGTTATTAGATTGCGAGAATTGCACTCATCTCTCAGGACTTGAACATCTGCCATGTCTAGAAACTCTTACATTAACCCGAATGAAGAACTTGACTGAATGGAACAACGGAGAAGCTAGCAATGATGATGTTGTTCAGTATCCCCAGCTCAAAAACTTGCATATAAATGATTGTTGCCGACTGATTACCACTCCAACTCACTTCCCAAGTCTTCATTCCTTGTGCATACATGAAAATGTGCAGTCTCTGGTGGTTAAAAATATACTTACAAGCGAAGCGCGCAACACTTTGGAGCATTTCTCAATAGATGTTTTGGACGGAATAAGTAGTCTCTCTGATGTGGTTGGGGTACCTCACCAAAACCAACTCTATACAAATCATCTCACCTCCCTCAAATCCCTTGAGATTCGAAGCTGCACAGGTTTGAGCATTATACCAAGTTACACACTACAAGGTTGTAAATCTCTTGAGAATGTTCTTGTATATAATTGTCCACATCTGGTGTCCTGCTCACTTGATTTGCATCAACTTCCTTCTCTGTCAACACTTGAGTTCATTCATTGCCGGAAATTGTTCATTCAAAATGATGTCCCAGAGGATTTAGTCACCTCAAACACTTAACCAGCTTGTGCATTGGTCCTTTCTCAGATGATTCAATTGATCTGTTTGATTGGCCTGGATTGTTATCTTGTTCATCCACCCTCAGGCATCTAGCGGTATCTGGGTCGTCTCAAATGCAGACTCTGCCAGATCAGCTCCAGGGCTTCAGTTTCTTAAAATATTTAAATCTCGAGGGCTTCGGATCTTTGGAAAGTTTACCTGAGTGGTTGGGAAACCTGGTGTCTCTGGAAACACTCTTTCTTAGAAGCTTTCCAAAGCTTCGATTCTTACCCTCATTGAATGTTATGGGACGTCTGGTTGCATTAAGATCAATGTGGATTACTGATTGCCCTCTTCTAAAAGAAACAGCCAAGCGCGATTTCGGCCGTCCCAATTCAGACTGGTCAAGCATTGCTTCTGAACTTCCTAATCTCCTAGTTCGTATTGATGGTTCCCTCACCACCGAGTAAAGGTTTTCAGTTTCAGCTGTGGATGATTTTTCCATTTTAACTTTCACTTCTTTGATGGTGTTTTTTTCACTTCCAATGTTTCCTTCTTGCAAACATTAGTGAATACTATTATGCTGGCGAGTATAATACTATTTAAGATCTTCTTACATTTTTTAGTTATCCTCAACATAGTATTTGCATTCTGCTTAAAAGAAATTACCCGTGTTGCCTCGTATCACAAAGTCGCAACCTGACTCTCTTGGAGCTCCTACCAGAGAACCATCAGAATTATTATTAACCTGTCTACTTAGCAATTCTACAGTTTTCACATACACATGCGCGCACATCAAGTACCGTTTACCAACATGAAAGAAGTAGGCTTCTCTACTCAACTAAATAAGATGTACAAATTCAGAAATTCTTTCACCGAGATCACTTCGTAAAACTAAAAACTGCGATTATGCCATTACATAAAAAGTTCAATGTAATCCATAGGCACCAGCATGTGATCTTCTGTTATTATGACATTTGCGATCATGATAATTACGTGGCTATACATTCCTACCTATGCCGTTGTGCAATTGTATCGACACGCTTTGGATAGTTCTGTACATGTGCTACCAAACCAGCGTAAAAAGAGTATCAGCGCCTCCCTACAAGAATAATGATGCTGATTTATAGACTCCCTGATCTTGCACACATATTACATCATGGAAACATACAGACCTTAACAATACAATCATGAGGTTGAATATGGTTCCGGTCTGGGGGTTATGAAGATTTTCAGATCCTCATTTCCCATATTCATCTGTTCTTCCTGAATTCCCTCCACTGAACTAACAGCAGATTCACAGTCAAACACCGAAATCATTTGAAGATTTGAAATATAGGCTAAACAAGATGGAATTTCCTTTAAGCATTGGCATCTTTGCAAAAACAATTCCTCAAGACAGGGGAAAGTATCATCTGCGCAGCCCGTCCACCTGGCTAAATCCAAGTTTTCCAACACCAGACATTGGAGTTTGGGAAAATCCCCCCCTTCCATGACCCATATTTCCCCAATAAATGCATCATACAATAACTTCAGAACTTGAAGATAGGGTAGCTTCTCAATTCCTGAAAGTTTACTCCATGGAAGCCGAAAGTTTGATAGAACTAGCTTCTTCAAATTCTGCGGAAACTGGAAATGCAAGTTTCCTGGTGGGTAGACTCAAGGCTGAGTGATTCAAGATGACTCATAAAGTGCAATTCAAGAGCTTGAATCGTGCAACAATTTTCAATCCTCCCTTCTGAACAAACAAGTTTGCACTCCATCTTTCGGAGTTTTGTAAACTTTCTCAATATCCCTTTCACTGTTTGCTCACAAGAACATTGTACTGGGGAAAGACATGCCAAATTCTCCAAATTGGAACCATGTTCAAGATTCTTCTTTGGAAATTCCCAGTGAATAGAATTATATGAACTAGTTGTAGATAGATGACTCAAATTTTTCATATTCCACACCGTATCTGGCAGCAAACAAGTCCAAATCCTTCAACAATAAAAGTCTCCAGATTCAATAGATTTTCAATTGATGATGGGATCATAAATGTTGAACGTTCAATGCACAATGACAAGGCCAAATACCTCAAGTGAACCAGTTGCTCAACTAGACCTGGAAACATTTTGCCCATCCGAAAACCCCTTAAATCCATAACTCTTAGAAGTTTGGACTGCCAAAATTGGTACAAGCACTCATGACAATCTCGCGCATGACTTACTATTTCGTTAGAAACAAAAAATAGAGTGCGTAAATGAGGACAAAGCAGCCTTGGCTCTACAAAGTCCTTTCTGCTAGAGTGAAAACGCAGCCGATAAAATTTGCTCGGCTCAATGGAGGTATCAAGCTCGTCTTCATCCAAGCAACACATGAAGTGCTCTTCCTTGCTTTTGGCCTTGCAAAAGTCAAGTACTAGGTCATGTAAGACACAATACTGGACTCGGCCTGTGAACCCTTTCTTAGCAGTCATAACTAAACTTCTCTGGATCAGCTCCATCATATAACCTTCTGCAACTTTCTCTAAGCACTCTTTATCATTTTTCACCACAAATCCTTCTGCAATCCATAACCATAACAGTTCCTGAACAGGTATTTGTTGGTCCTCTTTAAATGTCGAAAAGTATAGAAAGCATGGCTTCAAATAATCTGGCAAATGACGATAACTCAATTCAAAAGTATCTCTGCACTCCTCCCCAATAGATAAAATACCTTTCTTTAAAATTTTTGCAACTTCTTTCCAATTAGCTTCATGTGTATCTGTAAGAAGCCCTCCAACAATTAATATCATAAGGGGCAGTCCCTTGCAACACCGGGCAATTTCCAAACCAACCCTAACAACTGCAGGAGGACAGCATTTTCCAAAACGCATCTTCTTCTGCAGTAGTTCCCAACTCTCATTATTAGTAAGCGTTCGAAGGCTGTAAGGTTCACTATCCGGTTGGAAGAAAATAGCCAAATCTCAATTCCATGGAAGATTAGGTTTAAAGTCCTCAAAGGAATTTAACCAAGCGTTACTTGTTAAACATGCTTAGAAAATCATGTCCGATCCTGGTTCTCTCATTTCGAGACTCTATCGAGCAAAATATTGTGGTAATGGCGCTTTTTCACAATCACAACCTCCAAATAACTCCACTTGGGGTTACAAGAGTATACTATAGGGAGCTCAATTACTTTCTCAAGATGTCAAATGGAAAGTCATATCAGGGAAAGACATTGGTATTGCTGATGATTGGATTTTTAATCATTCCAACCCGATACAGAGGAATTCTTTTCTTGCTACACACTCTAATCTTAGAGTCAAAGACCTGATTCGCAATGATGGCCAATGGAAGTTACAGTTTCTGCGAAAGATATTCCCAAACTATATCATTCCTCACATCACAGAGATTTTTATTGATCCAAAAAGGCATTTAGAAAATGATAAACTGCAATGGACGAAGACGGGTCATGGAAACTATACGGTCCGCTCAGGTTATCATACAGCCATCAACTTGCTAGCTTCTAACAGTTTACAGACCCAATCTCCAACTCATACAGAAGTCAGAGCCTGGAAATGCTTGTGGAATGCTAAAGTTCATCCAAAGATGAAACTGTTGTTATGGAGAGCAGTGTTGAATGCTCTTCCTACTAAGTTGGGATTACAAAGAAGAGGTATTGAACTTGATCTCACATGCCCTTGTTGTGGAAATCAGGATGAGGATATTCTGCGCCTCTTTATAACATGCCCAGCATCTCAAGCCATTTGAAGTTTTGCTTATCCCTCATTCCCATTCATTCACAACTGTACTAGTTTCTTCCTACTGGAGTGGTACATGGAATGGATTCGGTCGAGGCCCTTAGCAAAGGAAATGAATTTATTTCTAATAATCCTTTGGAGGATTTGGACTGAAATAAATGACAAGATTTGGCGTAATTAGGTGCATAGTCCGGTTATCTCGTGAAGACTGATTCAAAATGACTTACAACAACATAATAAAATAGTCAAAAGTCAAACAACCCCTCAGAACTCTAATGTAGAGATCGTGACTCCATCCGAACAAAGTCCAGTTTTAGATGCCTCAATTCACTTTGATGGAAGATGACAACAGCAGGAGCATGGAAAATTACCTCACCTCAGGGAGCTATAATGCAAATCAAGGCGACCTGTCTCCAGGTATTATCACCTTTCCAGGCAGAGGCCATGACCTTTCTCATTGCTCTTCGTGAGGCTTCAGAACTTGGACTGACTCGTGTGAAAGTTTACACTGATTGTGAGTTATTATCCACTTATCTAAAGACTATACTTGTGCCGACAGAGGCACAAGAAGTTATTGCTTTATTATTGGTTTTAATTTCATCTTTTGAGTCCTGCACACTAATCAAAGTTAGCAGATCTGATGTTAGTGATCTACATAGTATGGCTTATAATGCAGGTCGATGTAATAGTTTAAGTACTTACGATTAATATCAGGTAAAAAAAAAAACTCTTGATTGAATATAGAGGCTTCACGTTCTAACTTAACTTTTGTTCATCCTAAAATTTGGGAGCGTGCCCAAGAGGAAATCGGGAGAAGCAACAGAGATAAAGTAATTGCTGATGAAGTAATCGCTAGGGGAATTTTTGGATTCGATCTGATTTGTCCAAGGACTAAGGAGGAGTAGACATCCGCGTTGGGCTGCTTTGAGGAAGGGGGTGATGTGATGGAGAAGATAATGATTTGTTTTCTTAATTCTGTTTTATTAATCAAGTTAAAATATCAATAAAACATAGAAATTTTTGCATCCAAATAATAATAACAATATTAGTAATGAGGCAGAACCAAATGGGACTAAATGTAGTTAACTGAAAATATTAAGGTAAATTTTAACAAATTCTTAAAATATTTTTTACAAAATTATAAATATTTTAATATTTTGAAGATTTTTTTGGGTAATTTGATAATAGTATAAATATTTTAAATTTTTTATTTCCCTAAAAATAGAAAACATTCTAAAATGACAAACATACTCCCATTTTGAGGTAAGTCATAGCAGAAAAGGTACCGAAGCAATGAAATGTGACGAGAATATTTCAAACAATTCTAGATAATGCTTGGATCAAAAATTGATTTCGGACAAATATATAACACAAATATGGGGATTTACTTTTTCTTGGCGAAATGTATGGCCGATTTGATCGAGGGAAGAGAGTATAGTTGGAAAAGTTTTGTCACTGCCAATTCTCTACTTCCATTCAACACACAAAACCATAATGCTCCTCCGGCGAAACAACAAAGAAATCCGGAAAAGAAAAGTTCAGATCCATGCTAATTAGTGCCTAATGTTTTATTGGGAAAACCAGCACAATTTACATTTTCTAAAATTCAGCATTGAATTTCATGGTGAGATTTTTATTTCCTTATATAGCCAGGGTTAAGCTCAGACAGTACTACTCCATTATAGTGCTTGGTTTAAAACTGAAATTAGCTCGTCACAAGATAGTAAACAGGTCACTGCAAGATAGTAAACAGTTCATTTTCAGGATAGTGTGCATAGAATCTGCGAGTCTCACAAACATGGTACTGAAGATGAATCTTAATTCCAAGTCATCGTCTAATCTATTAGTCTGCCACGCCAGTAAAAAGCAAAATACAGCAAAGCACGCGTCCAATAAGTTTTCAGGAGGTTAGGAGGTTTTGATCACGCACGTCGAAGACCAAGCACTTCTATGACCGAAACTCGTTTTCTTCTCCAGATAAACGTATCACTCGCCTCAGCCTGCTTAAATACAATGAATGATTGCCAAGTTCACACTTAAAGAGTCTTAGAGACAAGTTAGGAGACAAACTTTGACGTAACAAGCTCATCCTCATTGCCATCTTCTCTCAGGTTTTGCAAGATACTAAAACTAAAAGCACATGCAATGATGCAAATGTCAGAGATGGTGTAACACCAAAACGAATAGTTTCTGATGCATTTACCTGGAATTGTCGCTGAGGTGCAGAAAAGACCTCTTCAACCTCATACTTCTTAGTTATGTCAAAGTAAGTACTGCAATCCTTATTCTTGTCCTTAGCCCTGAAAAACAAAAAGTAAAAGACACCACCACCATACTCTAACGTGCTCACACACAACACCTCCTCGAGCCGAATTTTGTTGCCCTACCAGAATCATGTTGTTGATTCAGTTCACCAGAAAATCTTAAGAGTAGCATAAATAGCAATGGGTATAGAGATTTACAAATTCAAGTTAGATAAAAAGTATAGTTCAGCAGAATAACAATTAAGACCAGTTTATATACAAAGACAGGTAGAGAAAGGTAGGACCTCACGGAGATTGTGGTACTCGACTGCGTCCAAAGCATACTTGTACACCTTATCCTTGGTGTCAACAGGGACACTCGGCAGCACTGCGACAGTAGAAGGAGAATGATTATTATAGTTTGGTTCCCACTGCATGCAGACATCAACAATGCATTGAGAACCCGCGGAGTTCAAAAGTCCCGGCAGAATAGGGAACCACAGAGAAAGTGATTATTACAAATACTAAGTTAAATAAAATATGCAACAGGAGTGACCATAATCATATTTGCCTAAATCAAGGGGAAAAAGAATTCATGAATGACATAAACAACAGGAATTACCATTCCTTTCAAAACAGCAGAAAATGGTAGCTACATAATTTACGGCTGTCTAACATGTTTTGCTGCACGAATGTAAAATTAGATTTGCATTTCTTCTTTTGAACTCTGTGATCATGTTTCTAACAAGAAGCACTCAGCCACAAAAATGTACATGAACATTGTGTAAGACACGACAACTATCCTTCAGGTAATTCTGTGCTATTATAAAGAATCAATATTTACAAATATCCTAAGTAAATGAAAAAAAAAAGGAAAAAAGAAAATTTTAAAAAAAGGCTGTTCAAGTTTAATGGGTATGATAGCACTACCTGCCGGAAGTAACAACAAACAGGGGCAAATAAGCAAAAAGAGAATCGGAAAGTGAAGGTAAAACTTAAGCTTCAATTCAAACTACACACTCCGATTCAAACTTTGGAGATAATTCACAATCAGTGGTAAGTACACTGGATAGGAATGAATACAAAAGCCTAGCATCCAACATTGGTAAAAAGGCAAATAATGTGTGTCTGAACATCAGAGAACAAAAACACACATCAAAAAACATGATACAGACAGGCTCTAAGAACCTAACGAGCAATTGCAGGCATTCCATCAGAAAGCAAGAACAGCAAACTATGCATTGAAGCATCCCAGCCAGTAAGAGGAGCTCACCTTAGAAATGTTCTGGACTTAACTGGACGTCAGACTAAACATTGGTCTCAAAATGCTCATAGAAAAAAATGGAGTAAAACAACCAAATTGGATAAATATTCAGAATCCCAAATACATAAAAGCATTTCCGGTGCTTAAACAATCACTTTGATATCAGACCTATCTCACAACCTCTCAGATTAAGCGGATTAAGAATAATTTCCACAAGCACAAATTTTAATAGGTTGCTTCCTCCATATGGGAAAGGCACAAGATACACCAGAGATAATTTTCATTCGTAAAATATTCTATCCTTCAAGGGATGATTACAAACAAGGTTTAAAGAAATATTAGACAACCCAATGACAGAAAATTGATTCTACAACATATCAACGCATGAAATTCAGTATTTTCACAGCCAACTCATAACAAGTTTGTTATCTCACCAACCTTAAGTCGGGTAAGGGCGACTCATCGACCACCTGCAAATCTAACAAGTTCATTCTCCTTCTCGAGGTATCGTACAGAACTAGAGCATGATAAACATCTTGGGAGCCGTCGCTCTCAGTGATCCCCTGGAACATTAGGCTGTAGATGGTGGACACACCAAACCGAATGGAGCTGGCCTTCCGCACTGTTATAGGAGGATTATCAGCCTGACAGAGAACATTTTAATCATTCTCACATCCAATAAATTTGGAATTGTACGAGAGGGAGAATCACAACAATTGTGGAGTAATAATGAATAAACCAACCTTCCAAATACAACCACGACGGGCATAAAACACGTACACGGCATGATCGGCCGCACATAAGACCCCTTTATCGTCGCTGGCGCAGGAAGCAATAGCGATATCACCACTGAAGTCCGCAGCAATGTTAACATTAGACGGGCTCTGAGTAAATTGCAATAAGCAGTAGTGTGGGTGCCATCCCAGCAGATTCAGAGAAGCCGGCCGCAAAGAACCACCACTTGGCCGCCACCAAAGACTGATGACCACAACTTGTCTCTTGCAATTCGACGGTGATGATGATGGTTTCCCCGGTACGACGCCCACGCACTCGGTTTAGCTGCTTTGTTCAAAACACATCGGAATCGAGAAGCAGCCGCCATTACCAAACTTATCTCCAAGCTGATTTTTTTTTTTTTTTGTACCTAGCCAAAACAATTAAGCGAGTACGATGATTTTGGTCTCTATTGGACATATGTATACTTTGTCACCACAAGGCTGCGTAATTGATAATTGGAATAACAAGGACTAAGCCGGAATCTGGGTTGAGGAAAGAAATCAGATTAGAGTTTGTTGATGAGAGAGAATAAAAGAATGAGCTTTTTTTTTTTTTTTTTTTGAACAAAATAATGAGCTTGAGAGAAGAATATTGCTCGAAACCTCTCCACTTGATCTTCTTTACTCCTCTTTCTCTCTTCAGTTCACCGAACAAAATATCAATGGCCTTTCGAGCTATTGTGAAGAAAGCTAAACCATTGTCATGGAGTCGGTGTCTTCATGTAGTATTTGTCAAAGGCGAGCAAATCCATGCCCGCCCCGAGTATTTGGTCCCGCGGATATATTCAATACAGTTACTTGAGAAAATGCAAGGATTTACGTCCCCATGTCCAAGTGGAGGTTAAGATTAATTCTAATGTTGTCCACGGTGAATGCTTTGGAGTTCCGTTTGCAGTCAGCAATGATGACGAACAAGCCTTGGCCTTCGCTCAATTTGCCGTGACCACCCACAACGAAACCCAGGGTCCCAAGATTCGGTTTGAAAGGATTGTCAGAGCAACCAGGATGAAGGTGGTTGCCGGCTATGATTATTACCTACAATTCCAGGGGATTGATGAGAATGGCGACGTAAATGTTTATTATGCCGAAGTTTCTGACCACCCTTTTGGTACCGGGAAGCACCTGCGGCGGTGGCAGCCGGTGGATGATTCCTTTTCTTACCCTTTCCACCTAATTAGGTTGGTTTTTTTTAAAAAAAAAAAAAAATTTACTTCTGCATTTTATTTATGTCAGATTTGGTAGAATGTCGAAAGTCCTTGATCATTGTTTTCTTCTAATTGGATCCATAATGTTTTTCAGTGTTTTTCTTCTAATTGGATCCATAATCTTACTATTGGAGGTAGACGAAGTTGCTTTTTCCATGTGTGTGATGGTTCTTGTAGTATGAGCAGTGTTAACAACTCAATTGATTAAACCAAACTTACCAAATCCTTGTTTAGATGTATTTCTCACCTGCTTGTCAATGGTTAAATAAGTACATCACATATCTTGCGTAGTATGTAGCCAGAGCTCTATCTTTTTCCTTTTGAAATTCGTTTAAGATATCTCATCCAAATATTTTTACCAATACACTTTCTTTTTACCCTGTTGATAATTTTGTTTAAGATATCTGAGAGTAAATCTGTTTGCAAATTTAGGAGGTTTTGGTACAGTTGAATGTGGGAAATTCCTGCAGCAATGTGTCATTTTGTAGCTTTCCGGATTTCCTTCCTGGTGAAACACTATACTGGTTTTTTTTTTGTGGAACTATATTTCTTTAGAATGTTGGCCTTTTCTTTTTTCATTTGTTGCAAAGTTTCAATTTTGTTTATGTTTCATTTGTAAAACCGGGGGTTGACATGCATCTCTCGTGGAACAATCACATGTGTCTGCCTAATCCTCTCATTTGTGCTTGTACCTTTGCTCCTGAATTATGTCTGTTGCTTTAAATAGAACTTGGTGATTAATTACTGGCAGATAGAAGTTTTCGGGAAACATTTGAGAAACTTGAATATGGCGTCATGCTAAAAAGCAGTTTCATTACTTTTGTTTGCTGCCTTGGTGCACTATAAAATGCGAAAACTATCTTTTGCTGAAAGATAGCGCGATGCAGGAACTTATCATACATCCATAATGATTTTTGAAATCATTCATGGTTATCTCCTTTTTTAAGTTGCCATTTTGTTTTAGCTTCCTGAACGCCTCTCGTGTTCCATTAAAGCAAGATGTTGTATTTACAATAAGAAAATTAATTTTAAAAAATAGTTTCATATTGATTAATGCTTGTTGAAATTCTCTGGAAAGAACATAAACATCAGGCACCCACTCTTTTAGGTACCGTACACAAACTAGCCTTATGACTTGGTTTGTTGAAGCCATAGGCAAGCATACATTTGTGGATTCTTTATTTAGAATTCATAAATCTTTTACAGTTTTCATTTATTCAGATTTCTTATTTGGCTATGTAACTATAACAAGATGATTTCCTCTAATTGCTGAAGCATTTGGAACTTATTTCTTTTCTGTGTGCCAGGGGTAGCGAGTTGCGTGGAGATTTTGACAGCTATGTGGAAAAGTAAGTGTTTCTTGTGCTTTTGACAGAAGTAAACCTTTTTGAAAATTTTAAGGTTTTGGTAATTTTGCAGGAAATATCTGCTGTAATGTGTAATTTTTTAGGTTTCTAGATTTCGTCCAGCGGGCATTCTTGTGGACCTCTATTTCTTTAGAATATTGGCCTTTTCTTTTTTCATTTGTTGCAAAGTTTCAATTTTGTTTATGTTTCATTTGTAAAGCTGAGAGTTGACATGCACTTCTCATTGAACAATCAATACATATGTTTCTGCCTAATAATCTCATTTGTGTTTGCGCCTTCGCTCCTGAATTGTTTCTGTTGCTTTAAATAAAATTTGGTGTTTTAAGTTTTTCGGGAAACATTTGAGAACTTGAATATGGCTTCATGCTAAACAGCAGTTTAATTGCTTTTCTTTGCCGCCTTACTGCACTATAAAAAGTGAAAACCATCTTTTGCTGAAAGATAGTGTGATGCGGGAACTTATCATAAATCCATAATTATTTAGGAAAACATTCTTAGTTATCTCCTTTTCTTTTGAGTTTCCGTTTTGTTGTAGCTTGTTGCATACCTCTGTTGTTCTGACAGAGCAAGATTATTTACAGTAAGAAAATTAATTTTGAAAATGGTTTCATATTGATTAATGCTTGTTGAAATTCTCTGGAAAGAACATAAAGATCAGGCACCCTCACTTTTAGGTACCATACAGGAACTAGTCATTATATGACTTGGTTTTTTGAAGCCATAGGCAACCAAAGATTTAAAGAAGATGCAGGAAGCATACATTTGTGGATTCTTTATAACTATAAATCTCTTACAAGTTCCATTTATTCAGATTTCTTATTTGGTTATGTAACTATAAAAAGATGATTTTCTTTAATTGCTGAAGCTTTTGGAACTTATTTCTTTTTTGACCGCCAGGTATAGAGAGTGGTTTGGAGATTTTGACAGCAATGTGGAAAAGTAAGTGTCAGCTTATTCTTTTGGGTAGTCTATATTACACTTACTCGATGAATTTTTCGGTCTGAGATGATCGCCTTAATGCTTGTTTTAGGTTTTTGTAAACTCAAAGCATCAAATTGGTTGACAATTTGTTTTTTTTTTCCCACAGATTAAGAATGTTTCTGCCTACCTTGTCTCTGAAATATGAAGATGGCAAGAGTCATACAACCTTTGAGTGAGTGAGATTAGCACTTTCTTTTACTGTTTTAGATTTTTGATTGCTTGTACGGGGTGTATATCATCTCTATCATTGTCGTGTATGTTGTGTTTAGAACATTTAGTAATGTTTTCTGCTTATTTGTTGTCCGGCGACCTTGGATGTTGTGTGCTTATTCCTGTATGAAGTTTGCTATTGGATACCAACCCAACATGTCTAAAATTTATCTATACAATATTGTCATATATGTTGTCCATTGCAAATGGAGCTGGAAGAGTATCATTGACAATTCTTTAAGCTTTGTGCTGATAATGGATTAGATCAAAATGGCTCATTTAAATTCTGGCATTTCTTAGTTTCGGTGTAGTTGCTGGAAATTAATACATCAATGCACCAACGCATCTTGGGTCGTAGTACTTAAAACAATCTCTCTGTATCGAGATACAGGGGTAACGCTGCGTACATCTTAAGTCCTACATCCCAACCGAGTTGGAAATATACTGGGGTGTGTTGTTGTTGTTAGTTAGTTTCTTAAACGGTTGTTATTTACAAAGCTTCCAATATTCTGAATTTGAGCATGAAGATGTGAGTTTTACTTATTATCAATTAACTACTTGACCTTTTTTAAATTTCGTTTAGCTGACTATGGTTAACCTTTCTTCTATTGAGCATATGATGTGACTGCCTCTTCCATCTGTCTTCCATTCGGGTAATCGTTCTTTTTTCTATGAACTGCTACCATTTTGGGCAGAGAATCACGTTCTGATCCGCCTAGGAAAGCTACAAACTCTGAGGAAAACATTCTGCGCATCAATGATTCTTCTTCTCTGTCTTAAAATGAGGATGTTGATCCCCTACATAGTCACACTGCTGCTAGTGTTGATGTTGTCCCTGTCTATAACATGATTCATTGTGGAACGGTTTCCTTCTATGCTTCATCTGCAGTGAAAATGTACAAACAAAAAGTGGTCCGTGCCCTCACTCAGTCTGTTGTGTGTACCTCTATTCCTATGAGTTGTTTGCTTTATCATCGTAACTAGTTTGTGGGTTTTCTTGTGAACTCGGACATTAAATTGATGTTGCAGGGCAAAGATATTTTTCTTGATAAGGTATTGCATGCAAGCAAAGAATGTGATGGTGGCAAGGCCTTTTACAATTTACTGTTGAAGGTGATGAATGAGAAAGATGAGTGCAGTTTTCTCCATGCCATAGTTGAAGTTTTGGAATTGAAGAATGAAAAGTTGGTCAAGTGGCATGTGATTGATGAAATATTTTCTAGTCCTCTTGGAAAAGAACAGGTAAATCACATCTAGATTTGTGCTCGTGAAACTTAAAATAGTGTTTAATTGATTGTGAATGGTTGTTTGTGTTTGCAGATTGCTGTTGGCGCTTAAAGGTTGTGAATGATTTTAAAGTTCGGCTAGCGTGCTAGTCTTCAGGTCTACATTGTAGCTTGCTAGTCTTTATGGCTATTGGCCAGATGTGCTCGCACAATACATGTAACATAAGATTTGGTACTTTAGTGAACGAATGCCAGTTTTTGTGGACATGAGCCCATGCAAGCGTGTTGCATATGTTTTATCTTACTAGAAGATCAATGTAGCAATCCCATGCATGACAGGTCGGTGTCAGAAATGGGTTGCAATCCCAGATATGATAGACTGCTGTGCTGTGCCAAATAGGCGTTTAAGAAAAAGAGTTCAAGCACCTAATGGTTTTGAGCTGCAAAATCAATGGCCCTACTTTACTAATCCTACGTACATTTATAGTTTGCACAAGACCAAGACCGACAACGTTTGATTCTAGACTTTTAAACCAAATCGGTACCCTTTCCTCTCTGCAGCATGTTAACTGCCGTCAGAGGCCATGAGAACTTGCTCAAATGTCCATCCAAAAGAGCTTGCCGGCTACAGTGCATCCCAAATTGCAGGCGAACTCCGATTGTGTAGAGTGTAGACTAATGCTCCACACTTCTCTCTGTTCCAGTATATTAGATTGTTCTCACCGCCCTTAACTACCACGCACAAGCTTGCTGCTTAGTCGATCTATAAATCCAAGAACTATATACTTGCGCATCCTACCACCGTTTCTTCTTCCAATTATTGAGATGTTCCCTTTAGCCACAAGTCTTTAACAGTCTCTTGTCCACTCGTATCTTCTGCTTCTGATGTAATGAGGATTGCATATCCCCCAAATGTAAGAACCTAGGCTTGCCTTTACTTCTTATTTTGTAACAAAAAAAAAAAAAGAAAAAATTATTCTACCTGCTTTCCTAGTTTCTCCATAGTCTCAGTATTTTTGGCATCCATTAATGTCCTTTCCGGACTCGACTCCGCCTCCTCCCACAGTTTCTAATTCCTTGCAACCCATATTGACTATATCGTATACAAACTAATTCTTAGTTGCTGCAAGTGCTCCCTACCCAATCTATGATAAATTAAGAATTTTCATACGAAATTCGTGTATGTGTACCGCAAATAACTTGTCAGACTCCGTGAGCTAATCAAATGCCTCGTCTACTCTCAAATTACTTATCTTCGATAAGAAATTTCCATTCAATGAACTTAACTGAAACAATATGACCACGGAGTGATGGAAGTGTGGTGAAATGCAATTATAATATAGAGATCCTAGGTACACCTAGCAAGGTGTACCTAGTGTGAGTCTCACGCGACCCAAAAATGGATATCTCTCAATATTTACAACAATCTCATTTAATTCTCTATTTTGTGCAATTTTTAGAATTTCAAATCCCACCATTTCCTCCTAATTTTCAGCCATTAACCATATCCATCTTCCAGCCCATTCATCACAATCCGTCTCAAAAAAAAAAAACTAAAAAACTAAATTTTCTCTAGAGCAATTTGGCCAGAAAACCTCTCGTCGGCTGGATTTTTTAGGACGTAATCAGATTGTGCATCAAATCTAGTGGAAATTGTGGAAATATACTCTGTTCAAGATGCGATTTAAGGTAATACATGAACAAAATTCATCCACGCAGAAACCACCGATTGAGGATCCTGAACCGAACAAAAGCAGTTCAGAAAGTGAAGATGAACGTAGGTAATACTATTAATCTTTTGGACTATTGATGCGTTTTTTGATGGGTTTTGTAGATTTACTGTATATGCATTCGACTATGCATATCTGTTCATCAAGTTTAAAGTTGTCTTCATATTCAACCATTTTTTTATTTTTTTTATTTGGGTTCTGTAGATGTAAGGTATATTCACTCGATTGACGATGTTTGTTCATCAATTTTAGAGTTTTGTTCTTCTATTGGATGTAGTTTTTCTGGGAAATTGGTAAATTTTTGTATTATTCATCAGGTTGGTATAGTTATTCATTGTTGAAATTGTCAGATTCATCGTTAACCATAACTATGTAGTATTATTTTTTTGGTAAATTAGTAGATATTTGTATTATTCATCAGTTTGGTATAATTATTCATTGTTGAAATTGTCGTATTCATCAGTTTGGTATCATTATTCATTGTTGAAATTGTCGTATTCATCAGTTTGGTATAATTATTCATTGTTGTATATCATCTACCTCATGAATTTTTTACTCCTTGTTTGCTACATGCAAATTGTTTCCAATATACAACACCAGATTTGGAATTTTACAATCTTTGAACCTTTTTATTGAAAAAACAATGCGCTAGAATTATAAGCAGCAAAAACCTCTTCCTCAGAGTTAAAACATCGTCCAATTATTCATTAATAAGAACTCGTTATTCATTAATTAACGAAAGATATTCATCATAAAAACGTAATAAGATAATACACCATCGGTCAGAAAACAACAATGAAATTCCTGTTCATCATTAACCATATAATACGCATTACCTTACGCATGTATATTCATCAATAAAATGAATACATTCTACATCAATCATCTTTCAATAATTGCATAACATTATTCATTGTCTAAACGTTGGTTATTCCTTACTGAGAAAATACACATTGATTCTCCATATTCATAAGTCTCAATGATTAACCATCGTCAATTTTACTAAAATAAAATCCATCCTTATAAAAAAATTATCTCATAAAATAAAATAATATAAAAGCTAACATGATAAAAAAAAGATAAAAAAGATAATATAAAGCTAACATGATAAGTATTAAAAAAGATAACATTTGAAATTAAACATGTGCTAAAAAAAGGGGATAAAATTTGGAGGAATTAATTCACGTAATTAAAATTTGGAGGAAAAAAGGGGATAACATTTGATCACATAATTCAACTGATGATTTGCATAATAAATATGCGTGTGGACTCCTTTTTTTCAGACTCAATTATTCCAATTTCTCTTCCCCTGTGTGCGGTTCACGCACTGCCTAGCATCTTAATATTATTTGCCGGTAAAGTGTGAGATTGAACACTAATGCCGCAATTATAGGCAACTGATAAATCCATGGCCTTTTTTGCCTTATGTGCAGGGAGATTTGGCAAAAAAACCAATTATACCCTCGTCTTTCTTATCATATTTAAAAAATTAACCAATATTATAATATTCATTGATGAAAAAAGTTTCCTTAATATATTCAGTAGTAGAATCTGACTTTCTAAAGCAGCATTCGATCGAGAAATAAAATCTATAAATTAACCAGAAAATTCCAAGAAAATTAGAGATTTGATCTTGTCGTTACAATCAAAAACCAAAAAACTGTCACTAGCTATTCGATATAAGGACGTCTTCCTTTTCCTCGGCCAAAACCAGAAATGCAGCCACCATTTTGAAGTCATAAACACAATTTTTTGATCCTGAATACTTTGATAATAAAACAGATAACCCGACATGACACGAAATGGTACGAAAATAATTTAATATATATGCAATTAACAAAATACATTTTTTAAACAACACTACTTAAATAAATTGAAATTTTTGAAAAAAGATAATATGAAATTGAATTTTAAATACTCATAAGTTATAATTTAAACAATAAGTAAATATCTACAAACATTAAGCATAATTTTTTTAATCCTTATAAATTAAGTTAATGGGAAAGAACTAACTAAATAAAGTATCATAAGCCTGATAGTATGTTTAGAACTAACTAAAAGTAGATATTCTATAGGATATGAGCATATATGTAGGGTTTAGATACAATAGAACTTCTATAAATTAATAGTGTTGGAACCACCAAATTTTACTAATTTAGGGAATTATTATATAATCGATAAATTAATAAATTATTAATTTAAAGAATCTTTTCTTAAAAAAAAATCCTACTATACTAATGTTTTAGATGCCATCAATCTTGCATTTTCATGTTGGACGGTTGATGTCCAACAAAAGACAATAGCAAATTATTTTAATCATTGCAAAATTCGTTCAATAAATGAAGCATCAACATTGGACTCAAATGATGCAGCCCAAGAAGGACTTCAAGAGCCTCATAATATGATTAATCATTTTGGTTATCATAATAAGATGAATTTCAATCAATTGGTAGATTATCCAGGTTAAAATGATGAGTGTACAGAGGCCAACATTTGAGGATATTGTTACTAGTGTCCTTGAAGATTTTTTTTTTTTTTTTTTGAGGAAAAGTACTTGTTTATATTAAAACGGGACTTGATCTATTACAACTACTATATGCTAAATTATGGACGTCATTGACATCATTCCTGCTAACTTTAGTCAGTTTACAAGAATTAAAATTTGCGCAAAATTGTGTACTAATGAAACAATCTCTTGAGCTTCTACCGGGAAAAGGGAGCGGTGAAGATTAAGAGTGAGCAATAACTCTTCACAATTTCTTATTGCGATCTGAGAATACAATCTCAGAGCTTTCAAGAGCAACGAGATAAATAAAAAATAAAATTTCATTGGATATAAATTTCAAGAAAAAATAAGTATTAATAAGTTTATATTTTACTAAATCATCCTAGTTATTAGTGTATATATATATATATATATTTTGTATTTAGGGAATTTATTAATTTATAGTATTGTTGAGACCTATGGATATATATGAGATTTTCTGAAACATTATTATCTTATCATTTTATCAATTTTTTTTTTTTTACTTTTTGTACCGGTCCCAAAATGGGACGAGAGAAAATTATTAATTCGTAGAAGTTATTAATTTATCGATTATTAATTTACCGACGTTTTACGGTAGTATGTTTTTAATATTTACCTAATAAACCTTCAAATTACTTATTTTGAGTCTCGAGTTAAACGGTCATGGCTAGTTGTCATGAGTTCGACCTGTTTTATTATACGTGTTCGCGAGATTCGACCCGATTTCGAGATGAACCCGTCAGAGCTCAATCCTAAACCCGCTTATTACGTGTTAGGTTCGAGTCACGTTTTCGTGTCGTATCGAAAATTGACACCCCTATATTGGTTTTGATACTATAAAAGTGTAATATAATT